GCCGGGCTGAACTCGCGACCAGTAAGGGAGAATGTTTAGAGTTTTGCAAAAAGAGTTGCAAAGTGTTTTAACTACTCGACCTTGTTTAATATTTTACAGAAAACGAATCGGTTACCTAATGTAACCTCAGTTCTAGATGAGGGAACGAGTATTGCGTAAGCTAGCTTACGCTACGGGAAAGATTAATCTTTTCTGAGAAGTTGAAGCCAAACAAATATTTCCATAATTTGTATCCATTGTCAAGGCAGTTCCACTGCAGCAGACCATGAGCGGGCTAGCTAGAAGCTCATTGGTTTGCTCAGAGAGAACTGCTTAAGCCTATCGGAGAGCCGGGCTGAACTCGCGACCAATGAGAAGCAGGCACGCTCTCATTAAGGTAGAGCCCGCCAGAAAGGGTGTGGCTAGACAGTATAAATTGTCTCTCTCAAGCTGATTAGTTGATTTTTTCAGAGTGAAGGGAAAACGCTAGTAGCGCAAGCACGGCCAGGCCAATACTCATTCCCTCATCTAGAGAGAACCGAGGTTACGTTAGGTAACCGATTCATTCTCTTACGAGAGGTTCTCTTGTATTGCGTAAGCTAGCTTATGCTACGGGAACACCTGGTCAACGCTGTGTGCGCTATGTGACCACTAATGAGTCCCAGGGGGAATCCGGGGGACCCTTAGGAGTGGCGTGAATGTGGTAAGCCAGCAAGCGGGCCCGTGATTGTGTATTACATAAGCACCTAGGGGAAGCACAAGCGGCGAACCGGTTGTGTGAGTGACTCCCAATAAAGCAGCTCATCAAAGGAGCTGAAGCATACTAGACAGCTAGTAATTTAGCCTGCAGGGCGGGGACTTCCAGATTGTAAAATCTGACAAAGGTGGACGGGGAGGCCGTAGGAAATTCCGCAGGACCATGCCCACGATGAGGCCATGCCTCTAGTGGAATGAGCCCTGATGCCCAGAGGGCAAGGCAGGCTTTTAGATGCATAAGCAGAGGCAATAGCCACTAAAATGTCCACTATCCATCTAGACAGTGTCTATTTAGAGGCAGCCAGACCCTTGGTGCACCCCCCGAACGAGACAAAAAGCTGCTCAGAGCGTCTGAATGCGGCAGCGCGTGTAGTGTACAATCTCAGAGCCCGAACCGGACAGAGGATATTGGCATCACATTCACTATCGGATGCGGGCAGAGTCGATAGAGAGATAACCTGAGCCCTGAATGGGGTACCAATCGCTTTAGGGACATAGCGATGCCTAGGTCAAGACACGCAGCGCTAGACGAGAGCATGTGAAGGTCCCCCACACGTTTACAGAGAACAGAGCAGTCAGAAAAACGGTTTTGAGCGAGAGATATTTAAGGTCCACGGATAAGAGCGGGCAGCAGGGCCAGTCTGCCACTGTCCATGGCTGCAGTGCCGTGAGACATGTCTGCGTAACCTTGATCAGCTGGCGGCCTGTGATCCACACACGATGAGACACACGACTCTTTAACCAGAGCTGAAGCGGGCGCATGTGCAGAAGGCCCAGCTGAAGCACAGCGGAGGCTGAGGCCATATAACCCAACATCTTCTGAAAGGGTTTCAGAAGTGTGCGGGTGCCCATCCGAAACGAAGCGGCTAGTCGCTGAACACTGTGCGCGCGCTGTGTAGACAAGCGGACCTTCATAGTGACCGAGTTCAGCTCTATCCCCAGGAAGGAAATAGTCTTACTGGGTTGAAGGGAGCTCTTCATCCAGTTGACAGAGTGACCCAAAGTTTTCAGATGGTCGAGGAGAACTGCACGATGCGACAGAAGCTCCGTCTGTGATTGTGCCAAAATCAGCCAGTCGTCCAGATAATTTAATATATGCAGCCCACTTCATGAAGGTACGGGGTGCTAGAGATAGGCCGAACGGGAGAACGGCGAATTGATAAACTTGACCCTTGAAGGCGAAACGTAAGAACGGCCCGTGACGGGGATTTATCTGGATCTGAAAATAGGCGTCTTTCAGGTCTAGAGAGATGAGCCAGTCTCCCTGGTGCACGTGCGCGAGAAGTTTCGAAACGGTCTCCTCATGAGCGCTTTGTTCAGAAACCTGAGATCTAAGATCGGCCTGAGGCCACCGTCTTTCTTGGGAACAAGAAAATAATGGCCGTAAAACCCCGACTGTCTTTCTTGGGAACAAGAAAATAATGGCCGTAAAACCCCGACTCGGTCATAGATGGTGGAACTCTCTCTATGGCGCCTTTTTGCACATAGCGGGCTGGACACGGGGTGTGGGCACGTTTAAGCTGTATGTGGCAACGGGACCTACACTCAGAGAGGAGTTTATGGGCCGTGAGACAGAGCGAGCAGAGAGGGGACACATGCACGAGCTCGTGGGCGTGCTTATATTCTCTGATATTAGAGCGGGCTGAGCCCGCTCTGTGGGGATGGGCTCTGTGAGAGACATGGGACTTGTGGTGCATAAAAAGAGAAATTTATGCTCTTTCTGAGAATTCTCTGGGTAGCGGTGAAAACAGCTTTTTGTCGCTCGCTAGCGGGCAGGGAGACCGGATTGTTTGTGGCGGTGAACACTACTGCAGTCGGCAAGGCAACAGGGACTAGCAGAGGGGGAAGTTTTGACGGCGGTCCGGCCGCGGCGGGAGAGAGCCGTCCTTTTCTCAGCTGTGCTAGGCTACTTCTGATGATCAGGCTTCAGCGTGATTTTGGGTCGAGGCCCCCGGGGAGGCTGCTGAGAAGGGCGCTGGGGTGGGGCTCTAGCAGGGGGCTGGTCACGAGAGCGGCCTGCAGAAGAGCTAGTGCGGCGGGGCAGAAACAAGTTCATGGCCTGGGTGGCTTTCTGGACCTCTGAGAACCGGTCAACGATACCCATTACAGCAGATCTGAAGAGGCCGGTTGGAGAGAGGCGCGCGTTCAGAATCTCCCATGTCGGCGAGTGTGAGCCACAAATGTCTCTCAGACACAAAGAGGGTGGCCATGCATCTCCCCAGAGCTTGTGCAGCGGCTTTAGTGGCGCGAAGGACGAGGTCCGTAGCACTTCTCAGATCCGTAACAGCAAGGGGGTTTCTACCGCTCTCAGCCCACTCACGGAAAATGTCGCTCAGGTGAATTTGGAGGACTGACATGGAGTGGAGCGCCAAGGCGGCCTGACCGGCGGCGGTATAGGCGCGAGCATGGAAGCTCAAGGTCGCTCTGCAGGGTTTTGAAGGAAGCGCGGGAGAAGAACGCCATCTAGCAGAGGGCGGGCAGAGGTGTGCAGCGACCAAGTCCTCGACGGGCGGCATGGCTGTATATCCCTTCTCGGCGGAGCGGTTTCTGGCCGGGAGCGGGGCATTCCAGGACTTCGTGAGCTCAGCATGAAGTTCAGGTAGGAATGGGGCGGCCCGGTTAAAAGTGGGAGCAGCACGCCGGTGAAAATAGCTGCCGTCCATCCGGTTCGGAGCTTGCTCGACCACTCGAGGCCGAGGCGTTTGACGGCCTGGGAGAGGAGGCGCATGAGTTCCTCCTCAATTCCGGCGCGGGTCCCGGCAGACTCTCTCGCAGAAGAACCGAGAGAGGACCATTCCTCAATGTCGGAGGAGAGCAGTGAACAGGAAACCTTCTCCTCCGCGGCGTCATCGGAGGCGACAGAGCAGCCACTCGGCGGCAACTGCATGTCCGGCTGGGGCGGGAGAGCGGGGAGCGGGAGGCAACGGCGGCCCGCATGGTTCCGCTGGGCGCTCTGGCGGCCTCTGGGAGCGGCGTTTTTTCTTCCACAGTGAAATGAGAGGCGGTGCGGGAGCGGTCTTGACGGGCTGAAGTCGTGCCCGCAGGGAAGACGACGGCAGGTCCTCGCAGTGGTCGCATCCTCCGTCAGCGAGGGCGATCTCTGCGTGCCCCAATCCGAGGCAGGGGGCGCAGATGACATGGTGATCTCCATCCTCGAGAGGAGGGTGGCAAGAACCACAGAAATTTCGAGGCATCTTTAAAAAGACACTCAAGCTCTTTTAGTAGGACGAGGAAGGATACACGTCGGCGGATGGCGCTACCTTGCAGGGCGGCTGAAGGTGGCGAAGACCGCCAGCTTCTTCAGTCTCCGGAGCTCACTAGAAGGTGCCTTCTCGGCGGCGACGGCTTCTTCTCAAACAGCGGAAGCGTGTAGCTCGCTTAAGGATGAAATAATCAGCCTAAGATAGCCCAAATTATACTGTCTAGCCACGCCCTTTCTGGCGGGCTCTGACGCAATGAGAGCGTGCCTGCTTCTCATTGGTCGCGAGTTAAGCCCGGCTCTCCCATAGGCTTAAGCAGTTCTCTCTGAGCAAACCAATGAGCTGCTAGCTAGCCCGCTCGTGGTCTGCTGCAGTGGAACTGCGTTAACAATGGATACAAATTATGGAATAATTTTTTGGCTTCAACTTCTCAGAAAAGATGAGTCTTTCCCGTAACGTAAGCTAGCTCACGCAATACAAGAGAACCTCTCGTAAGAGAAAGGGATTTATTCGACAAATTGGTTTAAGCTATTGAGAATTTGGTTCATAAAATGGGGTATAGCATTTCTATAAATCAAATCCAGGTTACACTGTACACATTGTTACACTGCATAAATTAGATCAACACCTAGTTGATTGCACCAAGTGTTCCGGGATCAATTCCCAGAATATCCATATCCAGACCAAATGGTAGACCTGCACCGAGAGATGACAACGCAGCCCTGAATGTCAGCGCACCCCATGCCGAGTCCTAGAGACAGCTACGAAGACCTGGTCGATCAGACAAATCCACTGCACAGACCACTATGTGATGAAACTTGTGATGGAGTCAAATCATAATCACATGAACGTTGGTTAGACCAGAGGAGAACTGGACCCTGACTGACTGAGCCTGGTTTCTCCCAAGGTCCCCTTATTGGATGAGAGCTGAACAATGATACTATTGACTTTTCAGAGCTGCTTTGTAACATTGACCATTATTTTCCTGTTTCACTGTAAAGCTGCTTTAAAACAATCTGTATTGTATAAAGTGCTATATAAATAAAGGTGACGGTAAATAAATGGTGGTGGAGACTTTGTGGAAGTGTTTTTATTAGTTTTGCAGTCAGTATAACATTTAAGCATTTTCATTCACCAACAACCACAGGTTTGTCCTTATCACTCAAGATTGCATATATGTGATGGCACTGCATTTTTAGACCAACGTTACAACAAATGAGCATGTACATCAAATTGAACCCCTACCAGAGTACGTATGACACAAGTCTCTAATTAAATACCATATGCAGATTTTACAAACATTTTACACATGGATACTGACATGTTCCAATCTTAAAACTGGGCAACTTTTCCCCCCACTTCATTTCCACATTTTTTTTTTCATATCATACGACTGCTTTCTTGCTAACTGTAGAGATTCTTCAACTGACGAAATGGTTGAAAATTAAGTTAAGCCCAGATGCCTTTTTCTAGTCTTTCTGACATGTTATATAATCCAGTAAGTTTTATAATGGACTCAATGGTGGCATATCACACTATACAGTAGAGAAGACATTGTTTGCAAGATCAATTATTTAAAAGTAAATCGTAGATATATCTGAAACGATCACTCAAATTCCATGTGCAAAAATAAGCATATGAAAACATTAAATGAAATGTATAAGATGAGACAAATGACACGAAAACATTTCTTAAAAGACAGCAAATAGACATTCAGTGTATGTAAAACAGTAATCAAGTGTATGGGGTATTTTGTGCAGTACCTTTACATACATAAGTAGCATGCAGTGTAGTGATTGTAAAGTAAAATTATCTGCCAGATGTTTTCTTCAAATGGTGGGTCCCAAAAGTTGATGCTTTACAACTAATTCTTGAAAAAAATTAAAAAGCATCTATCAATAGTTAACAAAAGACTTAACCAAAGGTCAAATTTAAAAACATAATAGATCCAGTTTTTGCAACAAAACAAAGCAATCACTCAGCCAAGCTAATATATAGTCCAAAGATCACTTAATAAAATGGTATATTTGTTAAGGGCTCAATGCTTCCCATTGGGAAAACAAAATAATCATTAACATATATTCAACTTCTAAAGTTGACAAACGCCATTTCTGAAGTGATTATCTCTCATTCAAAGGCTGCATATACTAAAAGGTTTAAGGCAGAAAAAAAAAAGAAAAAAGAAGAAGCTCAAATGTTACAAAGCACACAATGGTCGAAGTGTTAAAACACTGGCATCAAAAAAGTAACTAAAATTCACTTTGGAAACTATTTTTCTGAATGAGGGTGAATTGCATGTTTCAAAATAAAAATATTTAAACTTATGACACAATCCCTGAAACCAAAATCTTCACTAAACACTTCCTGAGGCTAAAGCTAAATATTTCAAATATTTCTTAACTTGAATACTCAACATTTCCAAATTAAAAGAAATGTGCATTTGGCAGATTTCAGAACAAAATCCTATAAAAGTCAAATAAAATCACATAAAACGGAGTTCATGATTTACTGGTGCAGAGGAGAAGCCTTTGTCACCATTGATACTTCTGTCTGGTTAAGAATAAATCTGCGGAAATAAAAAATAAATAAAAATGGGATAATTCATACATGTGCTGAGGGTCTCTTGAGCACAGCACTGTATTTCATAGGAACTCGATCTGCCTTCAGCTGAATATTCAACAGAGTGAAGATGGAGATCTCCTGTAGAAGAAGACAACACACCATTATCCACTGCAAGAAATAACCATGGTATGTGATTACTAGGATGTTCCGAGATGTAGTGAAGGTGTTGATAGGTAGTTTCTATGATATTTTGAGTGGTTTTGGCTCAGGGTCAACCCAGGCTTTGTTGGTGCCCTGGGAGAGATTTTAGATTGGCATCACTGAAACACTGGCAACACTAAAATTGATCAAATAAAAATAAATTAATTAATAATAAAAAAAACCATTTAATTTATACAAAGTTGCCCTTTCTTGTGTTCCTCCCTTAGCCAAATTTAACATCCATTCAGCCGAATAAGTCAGTGTTGTAAAATGCAGTCTATTTGCTAAACTGTGGGACGTGATTAATTTTAAAGAGTGTTATTAAAAAAAAAAAATATTAAGCTGAGAAAGAGATGCTGTTTCCCCAGGCAGCCTCCTGAGGGTGCGCCCCGAGATGGTGAACGGGCATAGGCAAACTTTACTGTGGGCTCCAGGTACTCTCCTAAACGGTCAAATAGCCAACACACAAAAATGTCGAAATACCGTTTTGTTAAGTATCCTCATAAACACAGTCGGTTATATCTAAAGTGAAAATGAACATTTGGGAAAGCGTGTTTGATCTGTGCAGCCATTAAAGTCATTAATGTTAATCAAATAGAAAGCATCCGAAACAATTGTAAATGTACAATCCTCTATGGTGTCTTATGATTCAGCCTCAATTATCGCCCCTCAAGAACAACTACACCGCTTAACAACTAAGACAGGAAGAGCTAAATAAACGCATCATTGCATCTAAAACAACAACATGTTTATTAGGTTCAATACCCACTAAACTACTGAAAGCAGTGTTACCTGTAGTGGAAGAGCCTTTTCTCAATATTATTAACTCGTTTTTTAGGTCATGCTCCAAAAATATTCAAGCTGGCAGTAATAAAACCTCTTATTAAAGGTGCATTGCGCAACATTTCATGTTAAAAATAGCCGTTTTCTAACCCATACATGCTTAAACAATCACCTGATGAGCTGAATGAGCCCTTCTTTGATCACTGCGATCACCTCTATAATCCTGTACAGTGAAATATATAAGAGGGATTCGGGCTCAAATCTGAGACTGGCCGTGACGTCATGCGCGTTCGCGCTCGCCTGGCTATGTCTGGCAGGTTCGTGTAGCTATTCGCCGCCGTTCTCCATATCAGAGAAGACAACTCGAGCGACACAACTCAGCTTTCCACAAAAGTAGACGATGGATTCAAAGGGGCTGTTTACACCTGGTCACTTCATGCGTTTTCTGTGATCGGATAGCTATTCGATCGTGAAAAGACCAGGGTGTAAATGCCCTCCGAAACGCATTCGAGATGGATTTGAATCCGATCGCTCATGAGGACGTGGTCTGGGCCGCATTCCAGACGAAACTGGACAAGTGAAAATGCATCTGGTTGTTGAAACCAAGCTATGTGTCATGTTATTTTAGTCATAGCCTATATGACGACGCGATGACTGTAACAAAAGATGTGTGCCGCACAGTGTGCGGCTGATGCTCCTTTGGTTATGAACAGCTCGTGCAAATGTGTATGTGTGTGTGTTCCTCCATGAACGCGCACAGCTCTGGTTACAGTTTCGCTTGTTGCCAGAGGGGGCGTAGTTCTGCAAAAACTCAGATACTTGCGTTTAGCTCCTTTAAGAAACCGCAATTAGATCCAAATACCTTAGCAAATTACAGACCCAATTCAAATCTTCCTTTTATGTCTAAAATACAAGAAAAAGTTGTCAGCTCAATTGTGCTCTTTCTTGCAAGAAAATGATATCTATGAAAATTTTCAGTCAGGATTCAGACCGCATCATAGCATAGAAAATGCGCTATTTAAAATTATAAATGATTTACTTTTAGCTTCTGATCAAGGTTGTATCTCAATACTAGTTCTACTCGATCTTAGCGCTGCGTTCGACACTATAAATCATAAATACTCTTGGATCAACTACAAAACTACACTGGTGTTCAGGGACAGGCATTAAGTTGGTTTTTGGACCGTTACCATTTTGTCTGTTTAAATGGGGGAAAAAAAAAAAAAAAAAAAAAAAAAAAAATTCGAAGATAACCTCAGTAGACTATGGAGTACCGCAAGGATCGTTGTTAGGCCCTCTGCTATTCTCAATATATATGCTGCCACTTGGTAATATTATAAGAAAACATGGAATTAATTTCCACTGTTATGCTGACGACACTCAATTATATATTTCATCACGACCAGATGAAAACTCATCTAAACTCACAGAGTGTCTCAAAGATATAAAATGCTGGATGACGCGTAATTTCCTGCTATTAAATTCAGATAAAATGGAGGTAATACTTATTGCTCCAAAAAACTACCCGCAAAACCTCTTGCAATACAACTTTAATATAGAAGGATGTCCTGTTACTTTATCCACTACAGTAAAAGAACTGGGTGTTATACTAGACCGCAACTTGTCTTTCAAACATATTTCATATGTTACAAGATCAACCTTTTTCCACCTTAGAAACATTGCAAAGCTACGCAACATGCTATCTGTTTCTGATGCAGAAAAGTTAGTTCATGCATTCATGACCTCGAGACTAGATTAAGGTATTGCTTTATTAGCTGGTTGTCCTGCATCCTTAATAAAAAAAAGCTACAGTTAGTGCAAAATGCAGCTGCTAGAGTTCTTGCTAGGTCAAGAAAATATGATCATATAACGCCAATTATATCATCTCTACACTACTACTACTGACCTATAAAGCCCTAACTGGTTTAGCTCCTGTGTATTTAATGGGCCTTCTATCGCCCTACAATCCATCGCGTTCTTTATGATCACTAAATTCGAGGCTTCTGGTCATTCCTAGGATATCTAAGTCCACTAAAGGGGAGGGCATTCTCACATTTAGCTCCTAAACTCTGGAATAGCCTTCCTGATATTGTCCGAGGCCAGATCCAGATTAGCTGTCCCAGTTTAAAACTAGATTAAAGACGCATCTCTTTAGCCAAGCATTCACATAATGCTTACCTTTTATTCCTATGTTGAATCAGATCGAATTTAATATTATAAAACTTGAAGAGTCTGTAGGTTATTTGTATAGGTTGCATAGTGTTTACAGTCATTATGTTCCTGTTGATATTGCGTGAATGACGGGTGGTTGGGCAGAAATTGTGTTTTGCGGTAGGTGGTATGCCATACGGAACCGTTGCCACTGAAACAGCATTAATGCACCACCTAAATGCGTTTTCTCCATGTACATTTCTGAAATGCAGTTTTTGTAAAGCTGCTTTGAAACAATATGTATTGTGAAAAGCGCTATACAAATAAATTTGAATTGATCAAACAACAAGATAAAAATCACACAACAAAAGTTTTTCATTCAAGAGCAGTTTTAAATTAACCTGGCCCTAGCCAGATGAATTTCGCTCCGCCTAGCTCCACTCATCCATCTGGAACCGATCCATTGAAAGAGCGTTTCAGAAAGCTGGGCCTTATCAAAAATCCTTGCATATGATTGGATAAGCCACTTGTCTGTCATCTTTATCGACGTGCTATTACAAACACCGAAGCCAACCCGTGAAGCTGATGAGAGCGACGCAGGAAAAGACAAAACAGAACAGAAAACATCGTTTCCACCAACAAAAGCCTTCAGAGCCGTTCTCTGATGTTCTTTTAATGAAACAATATTAGGTAGATTGGACAACACGGATGAAATAGCAGCATCAATGTTAACGCTTGCTTCCTCGATGCGAGCCGCCATTGTTGTCTGAATCAAAACAGTCTCACGGTCGCTTCTCCACTACGTCACATCTATGAAACTCCCGCCCTGCGTCCTGATTGGCTAAGCCATAAAGTTGGTTGGAGAAATCACTCTCAATGGAAGAGGTTCCAGATGGATGTGAGTGAAGCTAGGCGGAGCTAAGCGGAACGACATTCATCTGGCTAGGGCCAGGTTAGTTTTAAATAAGGACTAGTCTGTATTTAATGTATACTGCAGTGTTATTTTACATTTGATGACTTTATTCAATTTCTGTTGTAGGCTATTTCTTATCTGAATACTACTGTTAGTACATTTTTTACATTTAATTTGTATTTTTGTTTTGTTGTATTGCTGACTGTTTACTTGTCTTCTGTAACTGAGGACTTTTTACTTACATTAATCGACCTAGTATTAGTTTTAGCAGTATCGATAGTTGTGAAATTACATTTTTTTAATAAAAAAATTACATGCATCATGACTTTGACACCCAGCAATAATTGTGATTTCAATATTGACCAAAATAACCGTGATTATGATTTTTGCCATAATCGAGCAGCCCTACGCTAACGTGGGCGCATGCGTTCGAACGGTCCACAAAAGACCGCCCACTCTCCTAAAGAGTAAACATTATGGGGAGCGCACTAGCCAGATTTAGAAATGAAAAAGCACAATGTTCTCTCCTGTTTTTTGAAACGCACTTGCAGCATTCGGCATGGTCTTGCAGCCGCAGAGCAGAAATGAAATGAAAGCTGCTGCTTACCATGTTTTTCCGTCGTCTCCGGGCGCGCCCCTATCTTTTTGCACCCTAGTGTTGCCTATGCTAAAGGCCGGCCCTGTTTTAGCTCTTGTTAACTGGGTCTTCTGAGAACACTGCTATTTGGTTACAAGGGTGTTAAGCAGGTGCCAGGTGTTGCTAGGATCTGAATGGTTTTAAGAAAGTTGATACACTATATGGAGAAAAGTATTGGCACACAACTCTTAATTATTGAATTCAGGTGTTTTAATCAGACCCATTGCCAAAGGTGTACAAAATCAGACAAGAGTTCAGTGAATTGACCAAGTGTGGTACTGTGATAGAATGCCACCTTTGCAATAAGTTAGTTTGTGAAATTTCAGCCCTGCTAGATATATCATGGTCAACTGTGAGTGATATTATTGGAAAGTGGAAGTATTTAGGAATGGCAGCAACTCAGCCACGAAGCGGAAGACCACTTAAAGTCACAGAGAGGGGTCACCAAGTTCTGAAGAGCATGCAGCATAAACGTCACCGAAGCTCTTCTGATTCCATACTCGAAGAATTCAAGACTTCCACTGCCATGACATTCTACTGGATGAATGGGCAAATATTCCCTCAGAAAAACTCTAAAATCTTGTGGAAAGCCTTCCCAGAAGAGTGATGGCTGTTATAGCTGCAAATGGGGGACAAACTCCATTTTAATGTCTATTTGTTTAGAATGCAATGACACTATAGTCACTGTTGGTGTAATGGTCAGGTGTCCCAATACTTTTGTCCATATATAAGCAGTTGGTACGGTGTCCCAGGCAGTTTCTTGGGTGTTGCCAAGCGGTTGTTAGGACGTTCGAGTGTTTTTATATTTTGCTATGTGGTTGCTAGATTCTGAGTGGTTTGGAACATTGTTATGTGGATCGCTGCTTCTGTTACAAATGTAAAAGCATATCCTCATGATTAAACAGTTTTTGTTAAACATTTCGAAATTGTAAACATTGTGTTTGCAACTTCACTCATTATAAACCGACCAATATAACAGATATTGTAAGAATGAGTCTTTAAGCAAACAGAAGAAAGCTGCATGTAGTAGCGCACCTGTTGTAACTCCTTTCCTGGGTCACCCGTTTCCCAAAAAAGCGTCATCTCCGGTTTTTTTCCCACTTTACGGAAGTTGACCGCCTTTAGTCCCTCTAATGACTTCAAGAGAAACACAGCATGTTATTTATTATTAATTATTTCATGCATTATTAAAAAGCAATGAATGTTTTTTCTGATGTGGTCATTTACAGTATAGCGTGCTGCTTTATACCTCTGCTGTTAACCACATTACATTCAATGGATTTAAAGGGGTATTCACAGCTGGCAAAATTAGCTTTTAATTCAACTTGTCTACCTATATGGTAGAAAGGTGAATCATCTGAATCATCAAAATCAACAAAATCATGGGGTTGGTGGGTCATTGTTAGATCATCGCTGATTAATCATGGGACCATGTGAGTATATATATATATCATGGAACTTGTTGTGATATGTAACTATTGTTATGATTGATATGTAATTGTGGGAGTCGCGCAACGTCAGTGGGGCGCCTCGGAGAGCGCTGAATGCATGTGACTGTGTTATGCTCAAGTAGCTTAGCTGTAGCAATAAGAGTCGGTTAATAAAACAGTTCATTCCAAGCAAGATGACTTGGTTCCTCTTTCATTTAAAAGCATCGACACATGACAGGACTATTACATTTAGAATAACCGTCTAGCCAGGATATCTTCAGAGTTTCTGAACAACAACCTTGCAAAAAAAATACTGCCGATACATTATTATTTTCAAATGTTAAATGTTAGGCCTGTAAAGAGAAATCAAAGGTTAAATATTTTGGTCTGTAAAGAAAGTTAGTTTATGATTCATTTTTTTTTAAATTCCCACTACAAGAACAACGTTCTTGAATTAATAATTTATTAGATTCACTCTGGTCTGTTATTGTAAGGACAACGACTTTACATTTTCACATCCCTAAAAATGACGTGGAACAAGTCACGTCAGACACACACGAGACGAGAGTTCAAGAGATCACAATTCTCGCGCATGCGTCGTGGAAATCTCTTGAACTCTCGTCTCAGGCCTACAAGGAAGAAATGGGAGTAGTCGAATAAAGTCATTATTTTTGTTTGTTTTTTCGCACAAAAAGTATTCTTGTCGCTTGATAAACTTATACTTGAGCCACTGTAGTCACATGGAATATTTAAACATTTACTTCATTGAATTTCTGGGCCGTCAAGTTTCGATCCCTTAGGAGCCTATGTAGCAGTGATTCACCTTCAAATTTAATCAAAAATATCTTCATTTATGTTCCTAAGATGAACGAAGGTCTTACGGGGTTGGAACAGCATGGGGGTGAGTAATTCATGACTTAATTTTCATGTTTGGGTGAACTAACCCTTTAAGACATTGTAAAGCACATTGTGTTGCAATGTGTGTTGTCAACTTGTGTTGCTTTAATTGTGCATCTGGCAGACTGATACATCCACGCTGTGGATGAAGGAAAGATTTAGAAGATCTTTTCTTCTGGCGGCTGTGAGACTTTATAATCAGTATTGTTAAGCATTATACAGAAACTACTACGAAATTATATAGAAACGACTATGCTATAAATTCAATGCACAATATCACTTTGCATCGTTAATGGGATTTTGTTTTTATTGTTTTTATCTGTTTTAAGCTTAAGGAGAAGCATGTTTTATACATATATTTATCTTAACTTATTATTCTACTCTATACCATCCACTTTCTGCTGTAATGATGAAAGACCCTGCTGGGTCGAGACGCCCCCCATTCAACCCGAAAGAAGTCATATAACCATTTCAATAACTCTGAAGCTGTTAAATTAAAGGAACACTCCGACTTTTTGGGACTTTAGCCTATTCACCTTACCCCCCAGAGTTAGATAAGTCCATACATACCTTTTTCATCCCCGTGCGTGCTAGAAGTCTGTTTGACGCACCCACCGCTAGCCTAGCTTAGCACAAAGACTGGATGTGAATGGTTGCAGCTTTCATACTAATCCAAATGAGTGGCAAAATAACGCAAACGTTTTCCTATTTACATGTTGTGATTTGTATAGTCACAGAATGTACAAATAACACAGTCAAATAAGACACAGACATCTTTTAACCGTATAAAACCTGGGAACTATTCTCTGAAGGCGAAGCATTGCTACTTTGACGGAGTAATAACCGCATCACCGGAGACACGCAGTGGTGAGGAGCGGAGAGTTCGCTCAGTGTTTGGGTAACAGAGTCAGCAATTTATAAATAGTAAAAGCGTAGTTTACAGTCATGGGTTTCCGCTCTATTGTAAATAGCTGCGACTGTAAACAGGGGAGGTAATACCATGTTTTACAGAATTCCAACTAAAAACGCTGACTGGATGAAGAAATGGCTAACTTACTCTGGATATTTATCCAAACACACCTAAATAGATTATCAAGGGACATTATGTTGGCTCGGTACATTTCAATGGACGACTATTTTGAAAAAATGGAATTTGCCACACGGACCATAATGTGCTGAAGGATACGGCCATCCCATCTATAGCACAGACAGGACAAGTGGATCACCTGCGGCTGAGGTAAGTGTTCCGTTATGTTTTTAGATGACCTACTGTAACAGTGCCATTAGCCAGAGCTAATGTAACGTTAGTGACACTATTATATGATTAGGGTATGAATATGTTTTTATCTTGATGCGGTGCGGACGCGCTTGGAAAAAAAACGAGCGCGTTCACCGCGTTGAACTTGCACCCTGCGCGCGGCGCGCCTAGCCTAAATTTGAAATAACCATGGAAATAACGAACTTGAGCGTGCAAAAGGGTACGATAGGCTGTGAGTTCATTGTGCAAAAACAATTTGTGCTATTACTTTTCCCGTATTCTATCCTATAGTAATGCAATACTGTATATTATATACTGTTGAATACATTTGGTTCAGCTAATAAATTGCATTTAAAATATATTGATTTATGTAATAATAATTATTTATTCATGTGTTGGAAATCAATGAAACATGGTACCTGGTCTCCCCTGTTTATTGTCACAGCTCATACAATAAAGCAAACACCCATGATAAACTATGCTTTTCTATCTAACGTTAGTAATTGCTGACTGTTACCCAAACACTGAGCGAACTCTCTGCTCCTCGTCACGGTGCGTCTCAGGTGATGGTTATCACTCTGCCCAAGTAGCAGTGCTTCGCCTTCAGAATTATTTATAAGGTTAAAAGATGTCTGTGTCTCATATGGCCTTGATATTTGCACACTCTGTGACTATACAAACCACAACATGTAAATAGGAAAACGTTTGCGTTATTTTGTCACTCATTTGGATTAGTATGAAAGCTGCAACCATTCACATCCAGTCTTTGTGCTAAGCTAGGCTAGCGGTGGGTGCGTCAAACAGACTTCTAGCACGCACGGGGATGAAAAAGGTATGTATGGACTTATCTAACTCTGGGGGGTAAGGTGAATAGGCTAAAGTCCCAAAAAGTCGGAGTGTTCCTTTAAGCTAAAATAACTGTTAATGGAGACTCCAGGTTTTATGCATAAATAAAATAGGCATGACAATAAATTGCATTTTATGTCAAAGTGAATAAGTAAATGTATATACTAATTATAAAAAATTTGAAACATGATTGGGGACATGGGAATTTGCCTGTCAAATGCCTAATTTTTTATTATCCTTAGGTACTAATTATGAATTTGTGTTAATTGGGGTACATCTATGGATGAAAAACCATGTGGGTAACTTCACATTTTATGAGAAATATGCACTATTGTCTCATGGGGACATAAAATCCACCAAACTATAGGAAAGACTAATACACAGGATTACCCGAGCAACAAAACGATAGATGCTTCTGAGGATTACAAGGACTATGGAATTTCACTGGTTTACTAGTTTACTATTTAGAAGGAAAAGCTGTGAAAACAAATAGTTGAATAAGTTATACGTACATTACAGTAGATTCGTTTTTGCACTCCATAGCGAAGCACCAGCACATCAAAGGACTGGTCAAGAACCCCCATGACCATAGCCTCCGAATCCAGAGGACCACACTCCTACCAGCAACATCACACTCATTAATGAATGGTTTTGTTTACCAACATCATTTCTGTAACAACGATGCTAACATAATATCAAGGGCAAAATGTATTTGCTTAAATTTGTTCAGAGTTTACTTTATTACTATTTACATGCAGAAGACTTTTACTCTATGTGCAAGCTGTGCAAATGATACATAAAACCTGACCTCTTGAGTATCTTTGCTATGATACATACCTTCACAAAGACAGCAAAGAAAAGTTCAGAGCTCAGCTCTTGAACTCTCTTTGAAGCAGTCTTCCTGTCATTGCAGTGGGATGACTGTTTATGTACTTCCTCTCCTGAGAGACTCAAACGTGGCCCACAGTCTGTAATGACAGATAGAATAAATATGAGGCTCCAGATAAAACAGCACTTAACTTAAAGTCTGCATGAACCATTAGTTGTACATTTTGGAATTAAATGCAATACAGAAAGATAAAAAAAATAGAGGGCAGGGCTGGATTTTAGCGCACATCCTAGCTCACAGCAGACTGACAATTGGAGAGGAAATGCTAAGGATGTTCTGTCTAAGCCGTCAGAGAGGAACACCATTCCAAAGGGGAAGCACATTTTGAGATTGACTAAAGATTACAAAGATAATTTTTATCATTCGGTTGATTAACTTGCACGGCTGAATTGCTCACCACAATACTAGTAATGGTCATAGTAAAGTAAATGGGGTCAATTTAGTTTTACTGAGACTTTTATAAAACACTGCGGCTGCAACTGAAGCATCCAGGTCAAAATATATGACAACTGTTGCCTTTGGGTTGCTCAGTTGGGGATATTCAAATTAATTAACCAATCATCATTAATACCATTGATCAGCTCTACCAAACGTGGATGTTCCTCCACTAAGAAACGAACATTGTTATTATGTTTTGATTGATAGTGTGAAGCTGCTTTGATGCAATCTATATTGTGAAAAGCGCTATATAAATATACTTGACCTGACGACTGAATGATAAGTTTACACTTTCAAATGTGTTTTAGTAAATGTTGACTAGAACTTGGCATGTTCATGTAACTCACGTCACCTAATTATTGACTGAATTACACTGGGTTGTATCTTCTTGGTCGACTTTACAAATGATGTGTTTGGATCTTTGTAAAGAGTTACCAATCAGGAGAAGGGTATACAAAAGTATTTCAAAACCGTTAGATGTGCCATGGAATACTGTGAAGGCCATCATCAACAAGGGCAGACAACAAGGCACCATAATGACATTCCAAATGAAAGGGCACCGGTCCAAAATTGATGGATGCTAGGACTTACAGTAGCATTAATTGAGCTGTAGGGATATCTGGCAAGTAATGTTCACATGCTGCATGTGACAACAGCATCCTGTATTCTTCATATGTCTGGGATATTGGGTGGGTGGATGGAGGCAATTACTCGCAAAAAGAAAAAAGGAAAAAACACGTGGTCAAAAACGCAGCAGCTAGAGTTCTTACTAGAACCAGGAAGTAAGACCATATTAGCACGGTTCGGTCAACACTGCATTGGCTCCCTATTAAACATTGTAAGTGATCAGCAATATTTTAAAATGTATACAAAACACTACAGTAAATGGTTTAGCTCCCCAGTACTTGAGAGAGCTCTTAGCACATTATAGTCCTTCATGTCTATTGCGATCTCAAAACTCTGTCCAGTTGATAATACCTGAAATATCAAAATCGACTGCTCGCAGTAGATCCTTTTCCTATTTAGCACCAAAACTTTGGAAAAGTCTTCCTAGCATTGTCCGGGAAGCAGACACACTCTGTTAGTTTAAATATAAACTAAAAATGCAAACGCATCTCTTTAACCTGGCATTCAAATAGAACATTATACATTTCTATTATTCAATTCAGTTAAATGATTGTTAGGCTGCATAAATTAGGTCAGCCGGAACCGGGAACATAATGATGATACAACGCATGATGTAGTCAGCTTTATCCGGGCCATATCCAGATCAGATGGTGGACCTGTGCCTAGACACGACCACAACACATCCCTGAAGTGGCAGCAGAGATTGTGTCAACTAGATTCTCCCCTGTGAAGACCTTAGACACCACAGCCACCACACCACCTTTACCCATTTCCATACCAGTGTGCTTCCGATCTTCAACCAGATGGAACTGGATAACATTATGATTGTTCCGATCCAATCTGACTTCTGACCTGTAATTCTGCCTGAATCATAATCATAATCAATTGTCTCCCCCTCACCCATTCTGTCACCTGATGGAGTTTGGGTTCCTTGCCAAAAATATTATTGATCTGTTATCACTGTAAAGCTGCTTTGAAACAATCTGTATTGTAAAAAGAGCGATTTAAATAAAGATGATTTGACTTAAAATATTTATGGTTTAATGAAACCAAATTGGTTTGAACTTTTGATTTTAAAGGTATGTTTGTCTCAAAAACAATACTGCTCATCACCCAAATAACAGCATAAACACAATGAAGATAGATGGTGCAAGCAACATGCAATAGGGCTCCTTCTCCTCAGCTAGGACTGGGGCAGTGAACTACTCCAGTTCTTGATAAAACACACTAGACATGTTTATTCTGTGCATTTTGTTCACTTTTTGTGGGAAATCATATTTGTTTTAAACAAAAGTTGTGCTTTCACTTTAGTGTAGTAGTGTAGAGTAGTGCAGCATAAAAAGACTGAAACCCTTGATTCACTGCTGCTCTATTAAATGTTGCATTGCATAGTGGAACATTTCCCTCAATAATGAGCAGGCAGCAGGATGTTGAGAACCTCTAGCGGAGCTGAGCACATTACAGAAAGCCTTCAGTCAAGCAATAGTCACATGCACCCTGACTCTTGAGCCCTGGCATAGTTTAGATCAGCCGGAACCGGGAACCCTGATGTACTTGGTACATCATAAGAAGGATGGCGTCTACGCTAATATTAGTTTCTCTGTTCATCCCGAGGGACCCTCTATGGTGGACCTGCGCCTGAACCCATCTCGACTTATCCTTAAGTGTCGGCCTCATCGACAAGACAGCCATTGGCATAGATCCTCAACATCTCGTCTCCAAACATGATTACTTCTAGGGGTGTCCATGGTTAACCGGTTAACCGATTAACCGTTTAAAATTGGATAACCGAGTGAAACCTTTTTGCTCGGTTAAGTGGCGTCAATACATATTTGCACAAAACTTTTGCGTTTTTTTTTTTCTGATTGTCGATAAAAAAATATTGTGAAATGACAGCGTTTCTATTAACGGTGTTATGCGACTAAAACATTTTTTTTTTTCCTTTCGCGATAAGCCATTCCAAAAATAATGGCAACGGACGTTGGTCTATCACAGCCACCGCACTAAACATTATTATTATTTATAAAAGGAGACGTGGTGTGTCATCCATGCATTAATGGCAGGGACAGTCACAGAGTTTCTGTGTGTTTCTCCCTCATTTCTGCTCCGCGGTCTTGATTGTGGCATTTCTTTGAGGTTTTGTCTAGTAGGCTATTCCTTGTATCCTTTATGAATTTTAAAAAAGAACTCTGCCTCGTATATGCCCAAACGGTCAGTGTAGCCTACTTTTGTGTTCATTCGTTTCCCCTTATTTAATCCGTAGGGCTAATTGCAAAACGAAAAATGAACGGTTGTTGTATTTTGTAAAACGCAGAGTTGAACACCAAAATGTTAATTTGAACTGTAGGACTACGTCAAATGCTGCGCAAAAATATATAGGCTATATATCGACGACTTTTCAGATATTTGTTTGATTTTTTGCCCCTTTAAACATTTAAAATATTTGACAAATGAATATGGAAAAAAAAAGATTTTACTGGTTTTCTGAGGCCAGATTAGAACCTGGAAATGATTTTCCCCGCAGTGCTGAATGAGAAGAGCCGTAACCACAGCCTACAGAAAGGGGATTTAGATGATTTATAAGATATAATAAATGTGTCTGATAATAAAATAATATAACATAACGAGGCATTAATTGTTTATTAATAAACTATTGTTTTCAAAATCAGTTTCTGCTAAAAACAAATCTCCATCCCCGGATGCACCTTTAGAGAAATACATAATTAGCGGACTACATAATTACATAGTCAGAAGATATTGGCTTTCGATTCGAATTTGTTCGTTTTAAATGGGACATTTAAAGCTTTAGTCTACAAAAGCTTTAAATGTCCAATTTAAAACGAACAAATTCGAATGCGGTGTCTGGTTTCAGTTCTCGCGCTTCAGTTCACGGAGATCATGAAGCGCGCCTGTTTGTTTAAGCACAACGTTTTCTTGTTATTGTGAGTTTACGCAAATAAATGTATTTGCGAATAATGTATTATTATTTTCTGTATGACCAGAAATGAAAGAGTATTTTAAGTTGTTTCCACTGAAAGAACTGCAATGAAACTGCAAGTGTTCACATGGGTGTCTCGCAGCCTCCACAAAGCACACACACTGGATATGCGTCAAAATATTGTGTTTATTTGTGCTTTGTTCCTTTTTTGGATAAAAGCGTCTTCTACATATGCAGCCTAATAAAATGTTACAATAATGATGATTATTATTATTATTTGCGGATACGGAGTTTTTGCGAAATGGACGTGTTGCCAATGTGCGTATTTTCAATGGGCAATTTGAAGGGTGATGGAAACGCGCCTACTTTAACTGCTCTGAACTTACCACTGCGTTTTCCAACCAGTTATTACAGGTGTTAAAAATTAACTCTGTATCTCGAGGTTGCGGCGCGCACATGGTTAACCGAGTATTAACCGATAAGGGCCTCGGTTAACGGTTAATGAAAAACTTGAAAACGTGCAGCCCTAATTATTTCGAATTGCAAACAGATGGAAATGGACAAATTCTCTTAATTTTCGATACAATTTGTTTTGTAATCACTGTTTCTTCGTTGGCCAGAGGAGAACTGGCCCCCGACTGAGCCTGGGTTCTCCCAAGGTTTTTTTCTCCATTCGGTCACCTGATGGAGTTTTGGTTCCTTGCCACTGTTGCCTTGGCTTTTGGTTTGCTTAGTTGGGGACATTTACAGTAATATTCAAAAATATTATTGATCTGTGTTGTATTATTTTCATGTTATCACTGTGAAGCTGCTTTGATACAATCTGTACTGTAATATATAACTAAAGGTGACTTGACTTGAACACGAGTAACTCACCGATGGAGGCGGCCAGTAGACGGTGCACTATGACATCAGCATAGCGTCGTATAGGTGAAGTGAAGTGTGTGTAAAGAGGCACATTCAGTGCATAATGACGGAATAACTTCTCATCCTTCAGAGCTCCAGAACAGAAATACACCGCCATCTACACAGGAAACCAATATCAAATAATTCTGATTAGTTCACAAGACGTTCAACAGTCACCATTACTTCAGTTCTAATCTGACACATTAGCTCATACAATTCAGAGTAAGCTGTGCAACCAGGATGGAATTGACACATCTTATACACACAGGATGTTCCAAACAGCAGGTAGAAAATGATGCTGCTTTGTAAGAAAAGTGTTCCCAAAATGATGGACTATAGGAACGGCTTAGTTACGAATAGAGTTATTGATACTGGATAAAATACATATTAGTGCTGAATTAAATGCAATTATATAATATTCAGTAATATTATCGATCTGACTGCACTGACACTATTGTATGAGATCAAAACTTGAAAAGAATTGAGCCGGATGACACCACTGTAATGCTGCATTATAGCAGATTCGACTTGGTTACATAATTGATTAATTTTGCAACATCAACAATGTTATTGAATTTAATTCTCAATCTGAATAACCTGCTTTTCCGCAGAATTTTGATGTATCATTGATCATTATTTTCTTGGTTATTGCACAGCTGGTTTGAAACCATTTGTATTGCATAAAGCAGTATATACAGTGCCTTGCAAAAGTATTTGGCCCCCTTGAACTTTGACCTTTTGCCACATTTCAGGCTGCAAACATAAAGATATAAAACTGTAATTTTTTTTGAAGAATCAACAAAAGGTGGGCCAAAATCATGAAGTGGAATGAAATTTATTGGATATTTCAAACTTTTTTAACAAATAAAAAACTGAAAAATTGGGTGAGCAAAATTATTCAGCCCCTTTACTTTCAGTGCAGCAAACTCTCTCCAGAAGTTCAGTGAGGATCTCTGAATGATCCTGAATGTTGACCTAAATGACTAATGATGATAAATAGAATCCTGTGTGTAATCAAGTCTCCGTATAAACGCACCTGCTCTGTGATAGTCTCAGAGGTCCGTTTAAAGCACAGAGAGCATCATGAAGAACAAGGAACACACCAGGCAGGTCCGAGATACTGTTGTGGAGAAGTTTAAAGCTGGATCTGGATACAGAAAGATTTCCCAAGCTTTGAACATTCCAAGGAGCACTGTGCAAGCAATAATATTGAAATGGAAGGAGTATCAGACCACTGCAAATCTACCAAGACCTGGCCGTCCCTCTAAACTTTCAGCTCATACAAGGAGAAGACTAATCAGAGTTGCAGCCAAGAGGCCCATGATCACTCTGGATGAGCTGCAGAGATCTACAGCTGAGGTGGGAGACTCTGTCCATAGGACAACAATGGTCGTATACTGCACAAATCTGGCCTTTATGGAAGAGTGGCAAGAAGAATGCCATTTCTTAAAGAGATCCATAAAAAGTGTTGTTTAAAGTTTGCCACAAGCCACCTAGGAGACACACCAAACATGTGGAAGAAGGTGCTCGAACTTTTTGGCAACAATGCAAAACGTTATGTTTGGCGTAAAAGCAACACAGCTCATCACCCTGAACACACCATCCACACTGTCAAACATGGTGGTGCCAGCATCATGGTTTGGGCCTGCTTTTCTTAAGCAGGGACAGGGAAGATGGTTAAAATTGATGGGAAGATGGATGGAGCCAAATACAGGACCATTCTGGAAGAAAACCTGATGGAGTCTGCAAAAGACCTGAGACTGGGACGGAGATTTGTCTTCCAACAAGACAATGATCCAAAACATAAAGCAAAATCTACAATGGAATGGTTCACAAATAAACATATCCAGGTGTTAGAATGGGCGAGTCAAAGTCCAGACCTGAATCCAATCGAGAATCTGTGGAAAGAACTGAAAACTGCTGTTCACAAACGCTCTCCATCCAACCTCACTGAGCTCGAACTGTTTTGCAAGGAGGAATGGGCAAAAATTTCAGTCTCTCGATGTGCAAAACTGATTGAGACATACCCCAAGCGAATTACAGCTGTAATCGCAGCAAAAGGTGGCGCTACAAAGTATTAACTTAAGGGGGCTGAATAATTTTGCTCGCCCAAGTTTTCAGTTTTTTATTTGTTAAAAAAGTTTGAAATATCCAATAAATTTCGTTCCACTTCATGATTGTCCACCGGTTGTTGATTCTTCACAAAAAAATTACAGTTTTATATCTTTATGTTTGCAGCCTGAAATGTGGCAAAAGGTCAAAATGTTCAAGGGGGCCGAATACTTTCGCAAGGCACTGTAAATAAAGGTGATTACACTTTAACTAAAAGGGAGCGATAATGCCCTTTATTTAAGTGCACAATGTATTTTTATGCTAAGAGTATCAAGCTAGAATCAATCTTTAAGATAGGTAGCTGCCAATAGGTATGGTTCCATCCAAAGTTGCGCATTTAATTTAAGCTAAAATAGTTTAATTAAATTGAAATTTAAGTATCAATATCACATAAAACATTTATGAATAATGAACAGTTTCCATCCAATGACCGGATGAGAACAAAATCGTCACTTCCTGATAAATTGGCGCTAAATATCATAAGAAAAATGGAAGTTGCTGCAGTAGGAGAAGCCACTGTATAAAATAACTTCATATGAAATAAATGACTAGCACATTAGCAATTTATGTGTATTTAGGCATTTACACCCAGCGTTATTTAATGCGAATTATGAAAATGCGCATAAAAATGGATGGATCATGGAAACCTAGCTAATGAACAGTGAAGCAGCTCACTAAGGTGTGAAAGAGACAACATCCTCTTCCAACTCAACATGGTGTGGACATGTACATCAGAATGGATGAACAGAAAGTGGATTAAAACTGTTAATAACAGGAGCACATCTTCACCTGCATTGGCCTGGAGCACATGTGAGTGAGAACTTCTTTCCTGGCAGCTGTATACTCATCATCCCCAAAGCTTTCATTCAGACTCCTCTGTCATAACAAAAGACACAGATTAGTATGTGTTTCATGAGCACTCCATTGACGGTTATAATGATATAATCAGACTGATCTCATGAAGTAGCGTGTGTATGACACGCCAATTCGTATTTCCATTTTTGGCGTGCTATCAAGACGCATAATCGCTTTTCAGCGCGTTTATGAACGTCGTTGACTTAACGTTATTACTGTATATATAAATATATGACTTACCTCAACCCCGTCCCTAAACCTAACCGTCACTGGGGTTAATGGCATTTATGACTGTTCCCTTACCATCCTAGGAAAAGAAAAAAAGGTCGCTCCCCAGATGTAGATCTACATTTTGCTATGTTTCGCGCGGACATTTGACGGCGTGTACAGACACGCAGAATCACTCGGACGTTAATGGCGTAGACATACACGCATACACGCGGATAGCTCAAAATGCGTAGAGATAACACGCCACTTGACTCGAAAGTGGCGTGTATGTTTATGCAAAAGTCATGATGTCATGTTGATATAATGACTATCATACTGAACAAATTTTACTCTATTTCCTAATCTTAACCTTTTCAAAAACATTTTGCATTTTTAAATTTATTTTTAAAAACATCTGGGTTACACCTAGTCCTTGAGTAGAAAAAAAGACAATGTGTCAGTAGCTGATGCTAGGGGAACACCTTTGGGTTGTGCCAATTGTCTAAAGACTATATAGAATCACCCCAAGCAACGGGAAAACTTCACATATAAACCACCTCCAATGTGCAGCAGCATCCACCTGGATGATGCTACAGCAGCCATATTGCGTCAGAATGCCCACCAAATATCATCGCATTGTGGAGAGGAGACAAAGTGATGAAGCCAATCAGTATATATGTATATACAGTATATTATTGTTGTCAATAGATAAAAACAAAACAAAAAAATTGTTTTTGTTTTTTTTTGTTTGTTTTTATCATCTGAAGGACGGTCCTGTTTTGACAGAATTGTGTTCTCATCTCTATACTGGGGCATTAGGACACACACAGACCACAGGTTGAGCACCTCCTATAGGCTTCACTAAGACCTCTTCGAGCAGCAACACCGTTTTGTCAGGAGGTCTCCCATGCATGTACTGACCAGGCTCAACCCTGCTGACCAGGCTACAGGGTGATAGCTGCTGTCTTAAGTGATTAGATTTATGCCACTGGCAAGTGTGGACAGTAGTCAAGATAGATCAAGACACAGATGCTACCAAGTCTCAATGGTTCCAGACCAGACCATGCATCAGAACCGTGTCTCCTCACAGCAGATCTTCATGTGTGTCTGACGAAGGGATTCCTGATGCTGTTCTGAATCTGATTCCCTTACACATTTTATAAGGCCTTTACAAGTTCTCAGCTGGTCAAAATACCATCATATGCAGTCTATGCACACACAACGAGAGCATTTATCCCAGCAAACACCATTGTTTTGGATGTTCAGCAACACGTCATAAAAAGCCCACCAAAACAGTATGAGCATGAGGCACTTTACGTACCATGAGTGTGGTTGCTCAAAATGAATAACGTGACAAAACAGTGGCACACACAAAACATTCCACTCGACTTTGTTGCTGACAAACATCGAATAAGCAACACACAGAGCTGGCATGATTATAAAGACAGTCAGCACAACCCAAAGGTCTTCCAGGTTTGTCCGGATGCAATAATATGGTTGTGGAAGTAAAAAAAAAAAATCCCAATTTAGCAATTTAACAAATTTAACAATTGGGTATCCACTTTTATGTAGGATTTTTGATTGTGAAGTGGAGATTGAATGTCCAGGTTTCCTTTAACAGTACTTTATGTCTGTTAATGTACCTGGTTTGGATCTGGAAGTCAATTTGCCAATAGTAGTTTTTAATGCTCTTAACATAGTGTGAGATACCCACATGGAGTGCCCCAGATGAGGAGAAGTCAACGTCAAGGCCCATTTGGTCACAAAATTCCTGCAGGTCATCCACCATCTTGCTCTGGGGTGGCGGGTGTCTCCGCAGTAGGGATAATTCTGGGTATGTGCGGTAGATCTGATGGGCGACTGCCATGTTCGCCAGCAACATGAACTCCTCCACCAGTCTGTATGACACAAGTCATGTGATTCATTGTTCAGAAGCAGAAACCAAACAAAGCTGGCTTTAGATGACAAGGCATGCTTGCCCACTTACACCGCTTAGAGGAGAGCATTTTATCTCACAAACCAAACAGTTTTTGTGTGCATTCTTACTTGTTGCTGTCCCGATACTGATAGATGTAACAGCCCTGAGGCATGCTGGACTCCTTATCGAGGGTGAAAGATAGCTTAAGCTGCAACCAGAAAATGTCAACAAATTAATTAGACAAACATTACTGTAACTGTCATTAAAAAAGATCATAAAAACATTCAGTTGCAAATTACTCCCTGTAGGCTCATTCAGAGTATAAATTAATTAGCACTGATCCAAGGGAACTTGCAAACAATTTTTAGTCAATGAGGTTCAGTGAGAGTCCAATTTTAGATTTTCCATATTTTCTTATAGATATTTGAACAGCCTTCTAATACAGTAGGTATCAAATAGTACATGAAACATCCCTCATCTAGAAACTCATGTTTTATCATAAACTGGCAAAATTAAACTTTACTTTAATTAAAAACAAGAAAAACATATCCAAAATAAGCCCAATTTGTGTTTATTAATGTCATCTGACCTTACTTTTAAACATCTTTTTAAAAAACACAAAAGTCCCTAAAAATATACTTCAAAGATATTAGACTCTTATCCAATAGCAAAGACAAAGTCCATCTGGACTCAGGAGTGTCCTATTTGACAGTGTTTATTTCGAAAATCGCAGCAGGAAAATATTATCTACACCCAATGTTCTCTACCAACTACAAGATTGATTTCGTAGGGTTCATTTGTGCCACAATGATTGTCATTCAGCTTGCCATTTTTTAAAAGACAAAAGCCTACATAAGAATAAATTTTTTCAGCATAATATCAATAATAAGCAGACACAACTATTCTCAAACATTCTCTTCTTGTGGATGGCTCTTGGCCAAAATTATTAGTAAAGCTGATCAATAAGTGAGATGATCAATGAGGAAAATATATTTTGGATGAAACTCAAAGCTTTGCCTTTAGTACTGGTGATCACTCATAACACATGAACTATGTGATTGGCGCAAATAAAAACAGCATGTGAACAGCTTTGTGCTGGAAGTGACAATTATCCCTGAATAACTTAAATGAATTCTACACCCTGAGGGAATCACTACCCAAAGAGATCCATCACTTGAGACACATCAAGCAAAAGTACTCATATCTTTATGAAACTTCCTCATAATAACAACAACAGGGATTATGTAAGGGAAAGATTTTTGGTGAGTAAGTGATGTTGAAAGACACTCCCATGTTATATAAACTAACTGCTTGTTCCTGTAAACCGATCTATGTTTATCCAATATTCATCTGTCTTTCCAACTTTCATCCATCTATCTGAACAAAAAATAAATGTATAGGTTACTTTACCCTATCCAAATAAATAGATTATGATCCACAAATAAATATAAAGTGATTCACAAAAAATGTATAATGAATACAATTAGCTTTTTCAATAAAAAAACAAAAGAAAAAAACCTCTTTATGTTGAACAGAAATCTGTCTGGCATTCATTTGTGAATCACATCCTCTGTATTAATGGACAGCTTGCTATGCATATGTGGATCACCACACGAATTTGTGGATTTCAAAACATTTCATATAACAGCTACAGTATAGTGTACGGATCAATTATAGAATGTTCTGACTACAACCAACCACAGTGTTTCCCATTCATTGATTTATTTGTGGCCGCAATATCAGCATTGACCGCCACAAAGAGATTTCAGTGCATCCTATTCATTAACTAGACTGTGATGGCCCGAAAATATATTTAAACTTCTCATAATAACATTACATTACAACATTCGACATTTCGTGTTTTGCATCATTGCCAAAAAACAAAAATGCTATTATGCTATTTTAAAGGCTCCTAATTTGGTTTTGGATGTCTCCTACAACAGGTTTACATGCATTAAAAAAAGTAAAAAACAAATTTTCAATGATTCTCAAACTGATAATTTTTTAGTTCCAGTAGTGACACTGGACGCAGCGCGACACGACGAGTCTCTGGCAGTAAACGGATGGCCCTTTCTACATCTGAAGTACTCCACGCTTGCGTTACATACACAAATATAGGATATAATATCATATATAATACAAAATAACCATCAGTGATGTAACAGCACAAGCTTCGGCATCACTGCAGCGTGTCCTGGGGTTTTGTGAGTGGATAATGCAAATAAAAACTTTGCAATGCTAAAAAAAAGCATTTATTTTTGATGTTGTAAATAACATTTACAATCAAAAACTATTAAGTCTGATTCATGTGAAATATTACATGTGTAATCAAGTATTTTAACTAATAAAATAAATAAATAAAAATCAAATAAAATCGCTTTGTCTGCTGAGCATTTTACTGTTAAATGTATAATGTCTTTGGAATTAAACAACCTTTCACACTTTTAAAAAGCACCCATTGTACAAACGGGAATCATTTATGGGAATCATTTTGTAATACATTTAAATAATGTTTAAAAATAATATTTATAATGCTTAGTAGATCGTTAGATCCACGGAGCTGCTCAAATCAGTCATTAAAATGCTTGATTGAAGTACCGGGAAACGCTGTTGGCTGTTGTATGACAGTAATTTCATCTATTACATGATCTCGCATGTTTATCACGAGGTAGAATCCAGTTATTTATTAGTCAGCTACTTTTTGAGGCTTTCTGTTCTATCTTGAATAACGTGATATTCTGCATCCAGTACAGTGTTGTTCCCATAGCAGAGAGTGCCGTTTCTCTGGCACATTAAAAATAAGAATGTGGCTTGGCTTGATATTTACTTAGTCTTATTTTAGTCATCTGAATTGTTTTAGTTTTAGTCTAAATATAATAAGATTTGAGTTGCCTAAATCTTGAGAAGAAAATATAAATATAAAGACATTAAATATAATACATTTTTATTTAAGCTATTAAAGAGCAGTGAATGATTTTCTCTTTTTCTTTTGTTGTTTGATAAATATTAAGGGCACAGATGGCATTAGGTTTATAACACTGCTGCCTTTAAGATCGAAGAACGAAAGCGCAGATCCGATGCAATAATGCAGATTCGATATTCTCACAACCGTGAGAATTCTTACGTTCTTTAAAGACATAACCAACTGCGTTTACATGAGTACTCTCTATAACTGATATTTTGACAGTGTTTTGTGTATTTGTCTATTCAGACACAAAAGAGACTTCAGTAAAATGTAGCTTTCTGATAGTTTTCTTTTGAATTCTCACGCTTATTCAGATCTAGCCATTTGTCTGCTCTTCTCTTTCTCCTAGACGTTTACATTTTTGAACAGTTTTGTGAGACATGCATCAAGTGCAAGCCAACTCATGTTCCTCCAGGTGGATCCGCATGTTACAAATCAAATGTGTTCATCTACCACACACTCAGGACATCAGTTATCAGTTCTGACTGGATCGCTTCCCAAATAGTTCCTTCCAAACATTTTTGTCTAGTTTTTATTTGTTGATGAAAATGTCAACAGATTTTTGTCTTTCAAACTAATTTTCATCTCTGAAAAAATATTGTTGATTAAAATTATAAAGTCTGATACAGATGAATGATGAGCAAAGCTATTTCAGGGCGAGACCGCCCTTACTGTAAATAAAAACGTGATTGGTTGTAGCGAGAACATGATGCGATTGGTCAGCGCAATGTGGCTGTTATCTGATTTGCTTAAGTAGATGATGGGTAGAGTCCTATCTGTGGATTTGCACGTCTTGACGCTAGAAATGTTTTGAAATACACAAATGCATGCGCTGATCTACAAATGAAAAAGGAGGGATCCACATATACACAGCAAGTGATTCACAAAGGAATGTTAGGCAGAGTTGTTTTTGTGACATAAATGTGTGGCACATTTGATTTGTTTGTGAATTTAATACATTTTTGTATTATATACTATATACTAGTATATCTTTGTGGATCTCACTCTATTAATTTAAATAGACTGTTAAAATTGTGTGAATCTCTTTACATTTATTTGTGGATCATATAATCTGTTTATTTGAAATAAAGAAAGAATTCTACACCCATTCTCCATCATCAACTCATTACATCAATCCAGGTCACATTTCCATCCATAACTAAAATGTTAAAAATGTACTTTAATTGCAAAATATTTTTTTTTTTTAAACTAAAGTGTCACTTTAGTATGACGAAAGAACGGTAAAGTGTGACCGCAGGGATAAGACACAGTTTTTAGTATTAGAGTATTTCACTAAAATGAAAACCAGTAAATGTCCAGGCTGAAGTCTGGTCTGCCTGACCTGGTCAAGCCGGAGAGCTCCACTCTCAAAGCGCTGGGTTCGGAGTTGTTTGGCAATGTTGTGCAAGTTGAAGACGGCTTCTTGTATGTCGTGGATGCTGTGATCTGGGGAGCAGGTTGGCAGTTCTTCAGCACTAAAGTGCTTGTCAGGAGCTTCAATCATACTCTGAGCATGATCATAACTCAGCTTAATGCAGGAACAGATGACAGTTCGCCCAAACCACTCACTCAGGATCTACAGAGAAACACAGAGAAACAGTACTATAAATAAAAGAAACATACTTATAAATGTAATTATTATGAGAAAGGGCTTTATCAGGCCCTGTGATAACAGGGGGTGGTAACACCCTCAAAAAGGTTTGTGTTTTGAGATTTGTTCTCAATGAGAGTATAAGAGGTCATAAAGTACCTTTCCCTCTGGAGAAAGCTTCCAAATGACAGAGAATGTCAGTCTATCAGTCAGAGGATTCAAGCTGCATAGCTCCTCACACAGAAGACGAGGCAACATGGGGATCACCTGCAGAAAAAAAATAATAAGTGTCCCCAACATTTAATTTAACAACAATATTTTTAACTACTGGAGTAATTAAGCTACAACTTATATTAAAGGGATAGTACAGTACACCCAAAAATGAAATTCTGAAATTTAATCATCCTCATGAATCGAGTGATTTAATTAAAGTCTTCAGAAGAGACACGTTTTCTTTATATGATAAACAGATTTATGTATAAACATTGATAAACACATACATTCAGCTCATTAAATATGGCAAAAAAAAGACCAACCATGTTTGCTTAAGAACATATCAATGTTTTAATATTTTTGGCATAAAAGCACCTGGAATTCTTTTAACAACCAAAGGAATTTATTTATAAGTTAATATGTAATATTTTTAAATCAAATGTTTCTTAGGAATGGGGTGCTTGGATGATTTGTGCTCGGAGAGAACTATTTAGTTAAAAGGTCAGATCATCATTCCCTCTCTAAATACTTAAAATGTTGAGACTGAGTTGTTAGTCATATTATTTTAACATTATGGGGCGGTTTCCCGGACAGAGATTAAGCCTAGTCCTAGAATAAAATGGCCCTTTAAACCTGATTAACAAAAATCTGCTTTCTATGTCATGGCTTTAAATAGTCCTAGATTTAGTTTAGTCCAGAGTTTAATAAGCCGATTTCCTGGAGGAAGACTACAGTTACTCCAGGACTAAATTGAGTCGTAAATTAAACCTACCAGGAGGCAGGTTTAACTTCAGATTAACATTGTGTTTCAAAGAAGACGCCTGCATTACTTGGATACACACATACAGTACATATATCAATATATTATTTAAACATTTAATTATGTTTTATTTGTATCGGGTTTCTTGTTAAAATGTGATTAGTTCATGTTAAACTAACTTGAAATGGTCACTTCACTTTGACTTCACTTGATGTTTTAATTTTGAAATATGTTTCAATCTATTAACCCAGTCATACATGACATTCACTTCCCATCACGCTTTGCACAGGGCTGAAATGTAAATTTTGAAATAAAGTGATGTTTTATGCAATTATTTTAGTAAGATGAGAAAACGGAGAGAATGTTTAATGTTCTATTATTATGTTGCTATTTAAACGTTTATGTTATGTTAGTATTTTTTGGGGTTACCGTTTTGGTGAAGTGTTGAGCCTGTGCTTGGAGCGAGGACCTGCTACAAAAAATTCAAGCTGTATAATTAATAAAGCAACCACTATGGTATTACTCTAGTTGAAAGTATTGCTTCTAGACTGTCAACAACACAAAACACCACATGTGTATATTAATGTTTTAGTAAGTTTATGTAAATCACAGGAATAAACAAGAAGCATTAATTATAGTTGTTTGAATAATTCATTTTAAATGAAAACCATTCATTGTTAAAGAACACCATTGATTCTAGTTGTACATCGTTGATTTTATGTGTATGTATTTTGTTATAAATACATATATATAAATACATATATATATATATACATATATATATATATATATATATATATATACACACACACACACACACACATATACACACACATATATATATATATATATATACACACACACACACACACACACAAACAGATTTCCCGACATTTCTTCTCTTTTATTCCATAGCTGGTGCAGATTATTTATCTTGCATAAAAATTAATTACTCTTGTTAGTAAATGTTTTTTGATTGCAGTCTTTTTCTGATGCCACTGTTTTCTTTGAATTTTCTTCTCAGTTCCATGCAATTTTAAGCTTTTCTTGGTTCATTCCGTGTTTTATAGTCGGTCATGCTAATTCAGATTAGCACAGTTGGTTTTAATTTAATCTGATTTATTTTAGTTCAGGACTCCATAGTCCAAGTGTAACTAATCTGTACTTAATATGTGTTACAAAAAGCCATTTTTTAAAAACATGATTAACTATTCTAGATTAAGGCCTACTCCAGGCTTAATTTAAACCCTGTCTGGGAAACCGCCCCTATATTCTATGAATTTAATCCATTCTCAGATAATCTACTGACCTGTAACAGTCATATTCACAGTTATAGTGCCATTAAATATAGCTAATAATATATATAATCAGTAGCTTTCCATAAAAAAAAATAAAAAAATTATAAATCCAAACTAAAATAAGAACTGAAACCAAATGCTGGATGAAAAAAATGAAAAAAGAAATAAATGTCAAAGCAGCGATTATAGCAGTGCATTTAATGTTGATTTAATTGGAAACTGTTATCTTTGATTGTCATGGTTCCATTTGAGTATTTAATCACAACGATTTTAATTTCGGTCGAGTTATTTGATATATGACATAACATTGAGTTTTATATGCAGTGTCTGAAGGCCCTAATAGGGCCCTAGGCCCTATTATTGAGATCTGGTACAAATATGACATACAAAAATACACAGGCACATATTAATCACGCACAATGATCGTGCGATCTTATTCAAATGACTATGATTCCGCTATGACTATTAAACCTTTAAAATTATGATGACACCAGAATCTTTAAACCTGCTTCCCAGACAAAAAGAGGGTCCTCAACCGAACCAATATTAAATTAAAGAAATTCAGATAGACCGGCTTTGAAGTCTTCATCGAACTGATTGTTCTGTAAAAGGGAGATATTAAAACGCCACCGCGGAGATCTTTCAACAAATGGAGCACATTCAAATAATACCATTAAAGAATTATGATCTGTAAGAATAGCTGGTAGTATAATTGTCTGGTCAAAGGAGTCCAAAAGTTCCTTGGAGCATAATAGATAATCTATTCTAGAAAAAGAGAGATGTCGTGCAGAGAAAAAGGTATAATTTCTACTCGAGGGGTTCCCCGATCTCTAAACGTCAACCAAATTCAGCATTTTTACGAAATCATTAAGCGCAGATGAGGAATTTAGCTGAACTTGACTGCAGGAAGAAGATCTGTCCAATACAGGGTCAATCACCGCATTCATATCCCCTCCAATAATCAGAGAATAGTCTATCAATGAAAGTAAATGATTAGTAACATGTGGGGAAAAAATTGTCTCAAATAATGTAGGAGCATAGATTGAAACAAAAGCTATTTTCCGCCCCTTAATGTTTGTACAAAAATATGCAAGTCTGACAGATTGATCTTGACTTTCTCAGTCAATCTTAAGGTTACAGTTACGTTTAATCAAAATAACTGTACCTTTAGTTTTGGTGTTATCAGTGGAAAAGGCTACAACTTTATAAAATTTATTCTGTAATCTCTGAACATCTGCTCTCTTTAGATGAGTTTCCTGAATTAGAGCGATATCAATCGCTTTCCTGCGCAAGTAGATCAAGAATTTAGCTCGCTTATTTGGACTGTTAAGACCTCTAATATTAAGTGAAAATTTTTTTAATTTATCCATAGTCTAATGAAGCAAAGATACGATTTGCAAAACCAAAATATATCTGTTTAACCTGTGACAAAACTAAAAGATTATAAAAGACAAATAGAAAAAACATGAACAAAAAAAAAAACCATTAGACCGCAAATTTCCCCATCATTATAAGGGCCCGTGAGAACATCCACAGTCGTTCAACAGAACGTCAAACACTCTCTTCCATTGAACATGAAGTATGTAGTATATAACAAAGTATGCATAGTATAAACAGTAGTGACAGCCGTATATTCTGTGAATACAAGAAATAAAACAAAATACAAATGTTTGACCGATTAAAAAAAAAAAAAAAAAAAACTCCTCTGCAATGGATCGTTACATTGCTAGCACATTACATTATCAGCGTACTCACTTCTATCACGGTTGACTCATTTTACTCATCCATAAACTCTGGAGGTGGCTCTGGAACATAAAAGGACAATTTACGTCTGGTGCCCGATCTAGGAGTACTACGAGTTTCCACTAAGAAATCCTCCGCTTTTTTGACTGAATCAAAAGAGTGCTGATTACCACCAAAGCTGCCACGAAGAGTGGCGGGGTATATGAGGAAGTTTGGAATTCCCAGAGCGTGCAGTTCCTTTTGGATACTTCCGAAGGCCTGACGTCTACGGGAGGTAAACCCACTGTAGTCGGCGAAAAAACGCAGTGTGGACTCTTGGTCACGAATTGGTTCGGTTTTCGCCACCTCCCTGGCTCCCTGAAGAATCGCCTGTCGATCCTGATACCGTAGCACGCGAAAGATCAAAGTGCGGGATTTACCGGAGCCATAGATTCTGTGCACGCGGTCTATTTCGATCGATCCCTTCCTCTTCAGCGCGGGTATCCAGATAGGAAGCATTTTTTGAAGAAAACCAGTTGGATCATCCCCTTCCCGGCCCTGCGGTAGCCCCACCAAACGTAAATTATTACGGCGAGACCTGTCTTCTAACTCCGCAATTTTCAAGGTGAGGTTTTGCTGCTCTGTTGTGCACATGTTCAAATCCTTCTTCATCTGCCGCGTCTCGCCTTGAATCTGGTCTACCTTCAAACCCAGGTCTCGTACCGTGTTGGTGTGGGATTGCACTTCTTGGCGGAGCTCGATCAAAAAGGATTTCACGTCCTCCATAGCCAAACGAATTGCATTTTGAATCGTAGATTCAAGTGCGACTTGTTGCTTTGAAAGCGCCTCTGCAATGGCGTCCGACAGATTGGCCTCAGTGTTCGCTAGCTTCATCTTTTTCTTTCCAGAGGGAGTTGTGGACGGCGAGGAGTCTTGTTTTTTGTTTCCGTACATTATACTGACAATATACAGAGTAAAAAAAAAACTGGCTGTCAGTTCTATATATTGTTGTTTAGGAAAAGGAAGGAGGTTTGGACAGAGCTAATCTGAAGGCCACATGAAGTTTGGATGTCTGAAGCTATTGACTCTGCAGAAAGTTGGCAACTTCTGCACACTGTGAGCTTCAGCATGCACTGACCTCGCTCTGTGATTTTACGTGGCCTACCACTTAGTTGCTGTTATTCCAAATTGCTTCAACTTTGTTATAATACCACTAACTGCGGACCGTGGAATATTTAGTAGTAAGGAAATTTCACAAATAGAATTATTGCACAGGTGGAAAGTTGAAAGCTATCACGGCACCACACTTGAGTTTGCTGAGCTCCTGAGAGCAACCCATTCTTTCACAAATGTTTGTAGAAGCAGTCTGCATGCCTAGGTTCTTTAGACAACTGTGGCCATGGAAATCATTGGAACACCTGAATTCAATGATTTGAAGGGGTGTCCCATACTTTTGGCAATATAGTGCATCAAGAAGCAGAAAGAATAAACCCAATTATGAACCAACATTTATATGCAGAGACAAAAATTGTATCAAACATTGAGAACAATATGTCAAGCAGACACGTGGAAGTGCTGTGGCCTAGTGGATTTGAGTAAATGATGAATGAATAAAATCAGTCTATTCTCATAGCAAGTTTTTATACATCATATCACTAACAGTATTAATATTCTGTTATTTGTTTTGTATCATTTTGTATCATGATGTGACTGGACACACCATAGCTCTCGTAGTCTCGTACAAATTACAGATCATCTTTCAACTACAGAGCAATTTAAGGTCCATGTGCAAAAAACTGTCACTCCATCAAATATTTAAATGCTGGAGCCTACAACAATGTTTAATTCAGTGATATCTAAAATTACTAGGTCTGTGAATCTTTGGTTAGATTCAAATAGATTCACAAATCATAGATTTTTGATAAGATTTGTGTGTGTGTGTGTGTGTGTGTGTGTGAAAATAATGAGATTTTGTGATTCTATTAACTATTTAATTCTGCATTTTTTAAGTGCATTCATAGTATTATTTAAATGAGTTCCCTAATGCGTCTTATTTAGGGTGCATACTGCACCCTGACTTTCATGGGGTCAGAGAGCAGGGGCTTTTGTCCATTGTTAAGGCATTTTTCCTCATATATGTATTTTGTTTTTCCGTTTGGCTTTAACCTCGTCCGCTGCTTAACAACAGGAAATTAAGATAAACAAAGTTTGGTTTTAAACAGAAACCATCATGGAATGTGTGTAATAAATTCTGACTGTAAACTACAGTGGATTTTGATTGAATAATGGGCATACATGCATTATTTGTAGTGTTTAATAATAAACTGCAACTGAATGATACACCTGCTTAGCATTTTTCATTATTTACTGTTATAGGAATACCCTACTTTTTCAATGGTTTGACTTTGAAAAAGGTTATAGCGCTATTGTGAGAGAGCTATCATCTGCTCATGTGATAGCAGTGGCCATGCAGAGGAGAGATCAAACATGGGCTGCTCAAAAACGGTATCAATAAGAGCTAAGGATGAAGCACAATCCAGTGAAAGAGGGTATAGAGTGCAGCACGCATCTGTGAGGGAGAGCTGTTAGGGTCTGAACAATGCCAAACAACGTCTCCATTCATTTGTGTATGTAATCATTTAAGACTTACACATTTCAAATCATTGAATCACTATCAAAATTATTCTTTTAATCTTAGCATTTTAAATCGAATCAAGTGAATCGCTACACCCGTAAAAATTAAACAATTTTCTGCGCTGCAACATTGCTGCAAGAAATTTAAATCACTTCAAATTGTTTGGAAAATCAAACTCGTACCTTTTGGACAAGATAAACACTTGTGGCTCTTCGGCCAGCTATTTGATCCAAGGCATTTCCTTCCTCCACAAAGTAACTCACATCAGCTATATGAACACCAACTTCAAAATTACCTACATGAGGAGAGAAAAGAAAACCATGTTTTTAAATCATAAATAGTTTTTTTTCAAGCGTAATGAACTTTTTAAAAGAACTTTAATATCAAAGGCAGCACACATACCATCTGAGAGTTGTTTGCAGGACAGTGCATCATCCAGATCTCTGGCTGTAGCTGGGTCGATGGTAAATATGCATTCGTTTCTTTAAAAAAAAAAAAAAATCCGAAAATCAGAACCAAATAATAAAAATGTTAATTAAAATTACATTTCAGATGGACTTTACATACAAATAATGGATAATACGTGAAAATGTATAGATCAGGGACAGGGTAGTAGTAGGGATGCACCGAAATGAAAATTCTTGGCCGAAACCGAAAACCGAAAAAGAGGAAACCAAGGCCGAAAACCGAAAACCGAAACACCGAAAAAAATGATGCCAATTATTAGTATCATTACTTTTATGGCTATGACTGTGTACAAACTTTACTAAAATCAAGGCATTGCAATTGCATAAATTAATATAACATTTTCAAAGAATAAATCAATTACAATATATGCTAATATTTATTTAGCACAATGCACAGTATAAAATAAAATTCAAACTAAAATGTTTAACTTGACCCACTCATGTGTACACTAAATAATAATCTACTGGCCTGCAGAAAGGTTTTAAAATGAAATGTTCTCTCAAAAACAAAGCCGAGCGCAAACTTCTCATCACACTAGCACCCAGTTTGCACGTCTAAATTAGTTACATTTTAAAAATGTAGCATACAATAGCATAAAAAGCCTTTTTAAATGAACAATGGTCCATGTTTAATACAAATGTACATGAAACTTAATGAAACATGTTTAGTGAATGTAGAAAATATTTAAGAGATTAATCATTAATTTAGTTCTAAACATACATGTTCCCATATACATATTTTTTTTGTAATGTAACAAGCAACAATCTCAGGGTTTACTGGGTTTTACAAGGTTTTTTTTTCTATTGGTGGTGGAATACTAAAAAATAAACATGTCATGTATTTATCTGTCTTCTTCTCACCGATTCCTGATGGTTAGAGGACAGTTACTTGAGTCGTCCCCTGTCGTTTCAAGGAATAGTACAACAAGACACGCAACGAAGTATAAACGCCTCGATGCACGCGCTGTTTGTGGAGACTCGCACTGCCTTGTTTACTTTCGCCTGCCTCCGCAGCGCGAGTCTTATTTATTGTTTTATCCACCTATATCTGCTCTAAACAATGCGTGCCGCCATGACGACGACTCCGGTTGCGAGCGGGTCAAAAGCGGTGCGCGCGCTGTCTGTGGAGACTCGCGCTGCCTTGTTTATACTTTCGCCTGCCTCCGCAGCGCGAGTCTCCACAGACAGCGCGCGCACCGCTCTTGACCCGCTCGCAACCGGATTCGTCGTCATGGCGGCACGCATTGTTTAGAGCAGATATAGGTGGATAAACAAGGTTTCCGTCTCCTCGCGGGTTCAGATGCACTGAAATACTTCCACACCGCAGACATGTTGCTTCAGACAAGCACGTGCAGGTCGCGGTTTCTGTTTGCGTCATCACAACATTTCGGCCGTATTGTTTCGGTGATAAAAGTCTTTCGGCCGAAAACCGAAAATGCACTTTTGGGCCATTTTCGGCCGAAAATTTTCGGCGGCCGAATATTCGGTGCATCCCTAGGTAGTAGGTTACCTGAGATCTCGTCTTTTAGAGAGCGCATGATCAGGGATGCTCCACGGCAGATCTTGGGGAAGACAATTCAAGACCTCCTTGGAAAACTCTGAAAAGTCCACATCATATTCAGTCAGGATGCCTTCTGTTTCCGGCTCTATTTCACCTGCTTGCCCTAAAGTTTTTGCAAGCCGCCTTAAAACAGAAAAACAACATTGAGAAATGCTATTATTAATCACAACAGCCAATGTAAAGCTCATAATTTGGAAGAAATACAGGTTACCCAGATCTCACCCTTCAGCAAAGTTGTTGTCTGCTGACCACTGTGTTATTCGGCAGATGAAGAGTGTGTTTTCATAGTCTCCAGGTCTGGAGATAAAGTCTGCAGGACAATCTGCGAGAGGCACATTAACTCTTGGGATCCGATGGTCCACAGGAGAGAACATAGCAAAATTCTTGTTGGGAAGAAATTTGAGGAAGCCTGATGCTGCTCTTGAGTGCTTCTTCTCAACAATGAATACAACCTAAAATGACAACATCCATGGACAATTATACGCAAAAGAATAAAAAAAAAGGCATGCTAATTTTGGACGATCTTCAAACTTAATATCGACAACATGAAGTTAAAAAACAAACAAAAAAAACATCAGCCCATTTACTTTCTTAAAGGGGTCCTTGATTATGATTAAAATTGTTTAACTTTAGTTAATGTGTAATGTTGTTTAAGCATAAAGAACATCTGCAAAGATACGATACTCAAAGTTCAATGCAAAGGACAGAAATTGCTTTTTAAGGACTAAACAAACCTCTGGTATGGACTACAACAAGCTTCTTCCAGAGTTCGTGACATCACAATCCCAAAGATTTACATAAACCCAGCCCCCGGGAACACGCAACAAAGTGCGGACATGTTGGGATGGTTTAGAGAAGAGGAAGAGTTGTTGTCGCAGTTTGTCAGAAGGCTGATGAATTTAGAGAGGTTAAAATGTATTTTTAACACCGTTCCTGAATATTAATCTCAACGTTTGTCTGTTCCCTACACATTTTACGGACAACAGCTTCCAGAAGCGAGTACAATGCAGGCTATACGCAATGAAATCTGTGTTTGCAAAGTCCGGATTTAAAATCGTTCAGCACGATCCTCTTGTTCGTTAACATTTTCAGGGTCTGAATTGGGGTCGAATTGGTTTGAAATTCACGCCACTGTTAATATTTACATCTGAGTAGAGCTTGTGGTTACGAAGGGGTGTGACATTTCCCGAACATGCGCTAAGCTCTGCCAATCAAAAGCACAATTCGGAAAGAGGGGCTTCATCAAAATTACACGGTCAACCAGGTGAGAGAGCTGTAATAATGTAAAATATGTGAAAAATAATGCGTTTAAGTATGAAAACATATTCTAGTAGACCACAAAAACAAAATCAAGACTTTGGAAAAAGAGATTATAGGACCCCTTTAATAAATGTTCCTGATTTTTTGTGCATTATTCATCAGTGATGCACATTATTAGCCTGGCTACGTCAGACTTCCTACTTCTGCTAATTTGAAGTAGCAGAGTCTGGTATTACCAGGCTAGCACATTATTCCAAACAGGGAAAAAAAGTGCAACATTGTTTTAATCTATTACAAAAGCCAACTTTTTAAATGAAAATTCTTGTCATCTTAGTAAATTGTCTGAATTTCTAAAGCATCTGAATGCATTTTTATTTATAACGGTCATGAATAATAATTACTTAAAAATAAAATGCATATCCTTTCAAACAAATTGCTTACCTTTCCAGTCCTTTGCATAGCTCTCTCTGAACTTGAACCAGAAGTGAAGCACGCATTAGCATGTTTGACAGAGTGTGTTGTGATGGGGGCTAAATCAGGAAAAAAAAAAGTTATAGCAAGATTTGATTGCAAGTTTCTATTTTATTTTCTGACACTTGTGTGTAATCAATGTAATTTGTTGAATTTTTATATAAAAAAAATGGAAAAGTACTCAATAGATTCAGATTTTTTTTGTTTTGAAAAAAAAAAGTTTAAACCCGTCAAAGGTAATAGACAGTTTTATAGAACCAATTTTTATAATTATTAAACACTTTGGGGAGATTAACAAGTGATTCCCTCATCTTAGCAAGGTTAAGATTCTCCAGCCTAACGTCTCTACACTGGCAAGAACTGCACTTTGCACTTTACTAAGTCACATTTTACTAGTCAAATGGCAGCATTTTACTAGTCAAATGCAGCTCATTTGCATTTAAGGTGGTATAGTCCCCGAAACAGCTCATTTTTAAGCAGGCCCCAAAATGACATTTTCAAATGGTTATAATAAATTAACTATGGGGTATTTTGAGCTGAAACTTCACAAATACATTCTGGGGACACCCGAGACCAATATTACATCTTGTAAAAAGGGGCATAATAGGTGCCCTTTAATATTCATTCATCATTATGACAAATCATTCTGGAACAAAGTTATCCTACTATTACTACACCAATGACATGCAGCTCTGCCTGCTAACAACTACAAAGTGGCTGAACAAATCTCAGTTTGACTTTTGGGTCTTTGGGACAGAAAGCTATCAAGAAAACAAAGCCAAACTTATTGTTACCGCAGGCCAGCACAGCAAATCAATATTTTAGTTGGCTACCAGTGGTTGTATGTACAGTATCAGGTTAAAGGAATAATTTGTTTGCATCCTTCCTCATGGGCTAAATAAATGAATTCATTTATTACATTTAAAGCCTTGGAATGATTATGCAAAATTATTTTTTTTTACATCAATTGTAAGCAAAATTCAATTGTTCCACAGCAACACATGGGTAATTTAAGGATAACAATGAGTCATGAAGATCTTGGTTTTTGGAAAGAGGTGAATAGCTCATTCATTCTGCAAACACAATGATGTCTTTCATTCCCTGTTCACCTCAGTCACCACATGCCCTGTATCAAACTTGACACTCTGGAATCTGTTGCCATGTTTTGAGCTACAGATGCTTAATAATTTAATATGTAGACGTCTTGGGGAGGCATGTGCAAACAAAGATATCTGGGCTTGATAAAGATAAAAAAAAAAGATCACAGCTCTTGGCTGTTCAATCCTCAATGAGTGACTCAACTTTTTTCTGCACTATAAGCATATAGCATATATTTTCTGCACATGTTTCAAGATATATTACTAATATATATATATATATATATATATATATATATATATATATATATATATATTAAAGATCCACTGCATCGGAGAATCCTTTACATTTATAAAGAATAATTCTTTGCCATGCATTTAAACTATGGTTGTGTGAGATGCATTAACAACTAAAAGAAAATTGGCACAGGACTGACCAAACCAATTAAATGCTAACAAGGCTAATTTTGATTATCTAGTTACAAATTTGTCACAAGTTTCAATTACAACATGTAACATAATACATTATTTATTTATTCATTTAAACTTAAATCATGGTGAAAGAGTAAAACTAATAAATACAACTAAATTAGCACTTATCAGCAAAACCTTGAGTAAGAGGCAACATAACATTGTGCCTGCAGGAAAAGCTCATTACCTTTATCATAGAGATTGGCATTCTTCATTTTACTGATCACCTCATCTTCTTCATTGTAATGGGCCTCCACAATGACATCAGGAGCCTTTGGTGCATTCTGACCGGATAGAGTTCTCTCATTTATATCTCCATTGACTGCCTGTGTACACAATGTGACACACATTTTGCATGTCAATGACGGTTATTGTCTCTCACAATTCATTTTGATTATACAGAATTACATACTGTACAAAACTACAAGTAATACATTCAACATGCATTCATATATATATATATATATATATATATATATACTGTATATATTAATACAAAAAGTTGTATACTACTTGCTTTTATTTGACAGTAAATGTATGGTCTTAATAGTATGAAAACATGACTGATTAATAGGCTCGATTGTGCACTATTTTCCACATTTTGTAGTACTAATTGTGGGAGGAAATTTGTGTAATTTAGCTTCTTGGACTTAAACATGCAAAATAATGTGAAATGGAGATGAGAAAACTACACTACTGGAAGAAGAAAACATTAGCTCATTCACTAAAATAATTAACAAACACAAAAAGGGCAGAGGATCTACAGAATTTCATTACTTTGCGGAAATCTGTGGAGGATTTTTTCCGCAAGCACAGGTTTCATGCATGTATGATTGCCAACTTCAAAGGAAAATGAAGGACATTCTAGCAGAGGTCTTCAACCTTGCTCCTGGGAAACCACTGTCCTGCAAATTTTATTTTCAACCACCTTCAGCAAACCTACCTCATATTTATAAATAAAAGTCTCTGCTTGAAAGAAATGAAATTAGTAGCAACTACCCAAGTTGACCCTCCGTCCCAACCCAAGTTGAAAAAACTGTGCTCCTCATGGCTTTAATAACACAACTTTTACCCTTGATAAATTTTGGACGTTAAATATCAGCCATGAGGACCTAAGATTTTGTTTTAATTCCTCTGTTGGCACTTTGAAAGACCAGTCAGGCAGACTCTTGGTTTTGATCCCTTCTCTTATTTGGATTTCAGATGATAGTGATAACCTTACATGACTCTGCAAATCTAAGAAGAAATGTGCCTTTAGGGTGTAATAGCTACATTTTTTTGTGTTTAATTGCTTTCCTATGCTGCTGATTATTTTCATCTTGACAAAAACTGCCTAGCAGCAGTTTAGATTTCCTGACACACAACTGCCCACACATGCACGCATCTACCCTCATTAAAGCTTTATAGCTTTGTTGCCAATTCTGATATGCAGAATGTTTATATAGCTAAAGAATTCAAAAAGCAAACTTCCATTTGCTCTGCTGTACTAAAAATAACAAGTCATAGAGCATAGACATAAATAATAAGCATACAGAAGTATGCATGCAGCATGAAATGTATTATGCAACCTAATAGATTTTTAAAAAGTCTTTGCTACATCTTTTATGTTTATCATGTATGCAGCTTATTGAACCTCTAATTAACTAAGATATTTGTAATATGCTAGTACGTAATATGTCCTCTAAAACTTTAAGTTTTATTAAATACAGATGTGCCATCACATTACATTAATAAAAATAATTTAGTAGTCTATCCTTGTGTGTTTAACCCCATTAATGAGAACGCATAATTAATCTAAATCTGAAGTAAAACAGTGCAAGTCATTTTATTTATTTATTTAAACTGTTATTGTGGACATGCACTGTATTTACGATTAGGACTCATAATGAAGATTTACGGTTTTACTTCATCTGCCGTTATAGGCTATATATCATATATTTCACTAAACGGGCTAAACCATTTCACTAAACCCAAAGCGCTCGCTGGTGTGGACATTTATGAAGAGATGGATATTTGCTTCAAGTAATAGGCTTGGTGAGTGAAAATATATTTGTATTATCTTTCTGCATGTATAATTCTCTTTCGATTTTCTGTCTAAAAGTGACCAAAAAGACATTTAACTCCAGCTCACCGTCGGTGTCGCCAAACTGCTCCATCTCCAAAACGTTTGTTTGCATGGGTCAGGGTTTGCGTGAAGGTGCGCAAATATTCCCATCAAATTTGTTTTTATACATCACAACAAATGCGTCGGAAGTGGCTTGAGCCTATTTCAGGGTTGTTTATGCATACGCAAGGGTTATAAATGAGGCCCCTTATGTGTTGTTTTTGCGCCAAACATACCTTTTACAATATTGGCTAAAATATTCAGTCTTGTTCTTGATAATGTCACTGTTGTGCCATACTTTCTCTTCCCTTGTCAATGACTTCTTCACTGTGTTCCATAGTATATCTATAATGCCTTGGAAATTTTCTATAGCCCTCACAATAGCTATCAACCATAATATCCCATTGATGCTCCGCAAGCTATTTTTGACTCATGGCTCATGTAGTAGAATGCAACCATGAAGATGTCAGAAATTTTTTTCAAGAACAGCTAAGATTTATTTGGAATTTATCAGTCACCTCAGGTGAAAATAGGCGTGTACCATTTCAAGAGTTTGATATTTTTTTAATTCTGAACACATCTACATATCCCATTATAATAGGGTGTGCACACTCATGCAGTAAGGTTATTTTAAGTTTTTATTTTTCTCCTTTTTTCTAAAATATGTCACTTTGGTTTTCTGTGGCATTGCATGGGTTGTAATGTTTAGATTAAAAGTGCAAAAGTGCATTCTGATATGACAATTATTTTTTACATAAAAAACAGCTGTTTTATCAGGGGTGTGAAAATTTTTATATCCACTGTGTGTGTGTGTTAGCTAACATGATTTCACTAATCAGATCATCAGCACATGGGAAAATATAAACAAGTACTAGGTGAAATCACTCGATCATTCTGATTGGATTATAAAATGAAACTATAAAAAGGAGGGAAGAGGTTCTTCCAATCATTTTGTTCAAGTGGTAGCAATGGTTACCTCCAGAGAAAGATGGGGAAAGACATTTAATCCTCAATAACTTCAAGGACATAGGTTCAACTGCAGTGAAGAAGGCTTCAGAACACCCCAGAGTGTTCAGCCACTTCTCTCCAAGAAAAAAAAAAAATCAAGAACAGACTGAAATTCTGCAGGAAGTACAAGGATTGGACAGCAGAAGACTGGTGCAAAGTTATTTTCTCTGATGAAGCACCCTTCCTACTGTTTGGGACATCCAGAAAATCAATTATTTGGAGAAGAAAAGGTGAACGCTATTATAAGTCCTGTGTCGTGCCAACAGTGAATCATCATGAGACCATCCATATGTGGGCTCATGTGTGGGACCATCCTTTTCATCCAAGGGTGAGGGCTCTATCACAATTCTGCCCCAAAACACTAACATGAATAAAGTATGTTATCAAAACTTCCAAGAAGAGCAACTTGTCCCAACAATCCAGGAGCAATCTGGTTATGATCTGTGCATTTTCAGCATGATGGAGCACCATGTCACAAGGAAAAAGTGATAATGAAGTGGATCTCCCCAACTCCCCGGATCTTAATCCCATAGAGAACTTGTGGTCAATCATCAAAAGGCGAGAAGCACAAACAATAGCCCACAAAGCTGATATCCAGCATGCCCAGAAGCATGCCATATCAATCCAGCATGCCAGAGCGAATTGCAGAGGTTATGAAGAAGGGTCAAAGCTGTAAATATTGACTTTGACAATCTCTTTGAATCTATTGAATATTTTGGACAATAAAACTATACAAACTTAATCTAATAACCTAAAAATACTAAAGCAGTAAACTATCCAAACCACTAAATATTATCTCACTACCAATACACAGCTGTATTTATGATATGTCCATTTTGATGAAGTACCTTCCACTGTTCAGGGGGGAGAACTTTCACCACGACAACATCTCCATTGAGAGCCCTGTTACGAGCTGCAATTCCATCCAGAAAGATATCGGCTAACCCATCCTGCAGAAAAAAATCAACTTCACAATTGCAAATCACTCACAAAAGAGAGTTACAAGTTATCAGAATTAGGACACTGACAAAGCAACAACTACAACAATTCAATAATATTTGGTCAGTTACTTTTGAATGAGAACCATGTTTATTCTAGCAACCATTTACGTTTGATAGCATGCTCAACTTCAGGTTATACTGTAAATGTAGTATGTGTAAAGGTGAAAAAAAGAATACTCACAGGAGATGGGACAAAAGCTTCCTTGTACTTCTTAGGATTTATCCTCAGTGCTCCCTTAAAGAGAATGACATTTAAACATTTTAAATATGATGAGTGTTTAAATAGTTTTCCATTCTGAGATTTCACTCTATAAGAATACGTAAAAAGCCAGTGTACTTGATATTTTAATATTACATTATTTAAAAGATGTAAAACATTAAAGAATCCCTCCATATATTACAGTAGTTAACATTGGAAATGGATGAAAAAAGTTTATCCGAAGATAAGAACGGGTATTGTTCAAAATTCATCTATCCACAAGTTTCCTACGCCCCATGAGGCCTTGCGTCAAAAGTGGGCGTGACTTCCGGTTCGAAGTAAACAAAGCGCGACTTGACATGCTTGACACTCGTTCATTCAACAGTTGACAGTGATTCAAGTTATATCGATCCAAACTAGCTAACGATGTGGGAACACAACCTCAACGAAATTCAAAAGGGTGAAATAACAGTACCTTTACCCTACGCAGTAGTTGATTGGGAGTATTATATATACTAATAACATTATTAATAATCAATACTCATCAAGGCATGGTGACAGACAGTTGTGCGAGCTGACAAACAATTAAAATAAAAAAATACACACTTAGTCATTGTGCTTTGGAGTTTATTCAAAATTATAAATGAATGTGCTACTTGAATACATTAACTGGCACATTTGGTATTCTGTCAACACAGGCTTTGATCCTGAGTTTAGGTGTAACATAAGTAGCGAACAGCCAATCACATGCTGATGAGAGTTTACAGAATATTAAGAATTTAAACAAATGTACACAGGAAGATTCGTCGTCTTTAGGGAGGTGATGGAAACTACAGTCGTTGGCAGGATCACTCTGATTTCGTTTTCAGCTTATGTTCAAAACGTTTCAACGCATCAAGTTTAAGCCACTGAATTAGTTTAGTCTGGTTATACATACAACCGCGAACAGCACATGTTGTCCCTGAGCTCCGTAACGACATCTCTCATAAAGATTTGGGTCTTTAAATAGTAAAATAATTCTCTGAAAAACAGCTAGCCTCTTCGCTAACACACAAAATACCATTGCAATGCTACTTCCGCCGCCTCACCTTAAGTTTCACCCACTTTATTTTTTACAGGAGCGCCCCTCGGAAACTTGTGGATAACTTTGATGAAAGGTTTTGATCCACTCCGAATGTTGACTAATATATATTTCATACTATGATAATAAAACTGTCTGGGTAATGATAAGTAACTAAATATGCTTGTTAAAAAAAAAAAAAAATTTATTTGAAGCATTTATGAAAATATATTTAATCCGTTTATATTAAAAAAATAATAATATTTTTGATTTTTCAGGTTTTCATGTCACAACGACCCTTGTGCACTTGTGCACATGGCGCAGAAGTATAAATTGGGCTTAAGTGTCAGGGACCCTGGCCTAAAATAACGCTGGAACCTGCGCAACCCTGATCATACAGGAAGTAAGAGGGGAGGGTTGAGTCTCACTGTGGCCGGCTAATCGCTCTCTACTCCATTCAGAGCACAAGTAATTTCGCTTTCTGGACGAGCAACAACTACACGTGCTCTTCCCTGTCCGGGCCCTAAGAGTATATATATGAAGAGTTCAGATGCAAAAGCCTCTAAATGCCATTTAAAATTTTCTTCTAAAATGACCATTTTTATCAAGCTTGTATATTTAAGTTCAGTAATTTCACTTAAATGGCAATGAAGATTACCTATTAATTGTCATTTAAGTGAAATTACTGAACTTAAATATACAAGCTTGATAAAAATGGTCATTTTAGAAGAAAATTTCAAATGGCATTTAGAGGCTTTTGCATCTGAACTCTTCATATATATATAGAGCCCAGTTTAGGCAGTTGGAGCAGCTCTTCGTATGCTTTGGTGGCCACACCAAAGGGCTTCCGGTCACAAAGCAAAGACTGTCCCGCTGGATAGTGGACTCCATTTTTTTGGCCTACACTTCAAATTTGTCAGATTTTACAACTTGAAAGCCCCTGCACTGAAGGCACAAATCATCTCTGGCTCTTAGAACTCACATACAGCAGCCAAACAAAATGTAAAGTTAATGATGTGAGGGTCTAAGAACCCAACTAAAACAAACACTGGTCCCCATTATAGTGACTTAAAATTCTGGATCTCTCCTTAAGTGATTTTGCTTGTTAACATCAAGTGTCTTCAATAATGCTCAATCATCACTCAATTATTCACTTAATTATCTCATTAACTTTAACACTACTTCAGTGTTCATTTAACACTGCTTAGAGTTTAATTGGGTCGCATAAAATTACTTAATTCCATTATGTTGAAGTTACATGAACAAATTATGTTTTGTTTTTTTAATGTAACCCAGTTATGTGTAACCTGTTGACATAAAAAAGTTAAAGCCAAAATTTCAGAACCTGATGACAAAGTTAATTAAAGCAAACATATCATTTTTGAGTGTGTTGAAATTACATGAACAAATTATGTTATGTGGAACCTGTTGACATAAGGTTAATTTTTGGAACCCTTTTACACGAAAAAGTTAATTAAAGCCAACATGTCATTTTTTGGAGCATGTATTAAATTCACCTGAATGAGTTCTCCTCTCTTTAGGCCTGCAGACACATCCTCTGTGCACATGTACTCCTCGAACAGCAGCTTCCGGGAGCATCTACAATCTTTAGTGTTTTTATTTTTGTCCCTTTGATGTAAACTTTCTTTTGGTGCTGTGAAAACAATGAAGAAATTGTAGCTCACGCACAAAAAAAAAATTACTATGATGTTTATTTAGATTTGTAATGAAACTAAATCTGGTCATGTAGGTCACATGATGTTTTTTTAAGACACCATGGATTTTTTTTGGCTTGTTCCACATCTATTAGACTTGAAGCCATGTGTAGCTTCAAAAGAAGTAATTTTGAAATGTGTATCCTATTTAGTTAACTAATCTGTACAGTAAAATAGATTTTTTAACTTTACAGATATAGGATACGCATATGAAAATGTGTCTTTTTTTCTGGGAAAACAGATTAAAAAATACTGATGAATAACACACACGAGAAAGCAGAGGAAGAACAGTCTCTTTGTTAAATCTATGTTTTAACATTTTGTTAAAGCTACACATGAAGGCATACTTTTTACAACAAATACAGAAAAGACAAAGGCACCCTTACACACACTGACTGGGTAAAGCTACTTCACGATTTGCATATCAAATTCAGTCTATTACAAAAGTTTACGATCACAGGCGCGGTGATCTTGCATGTAGTGTAACTCGACCAAGGATGGTGACACAAAATAAAACATTGTGCTTTTCTAAGTGTGCAAAGTGGATAAATAATGTATGACGGAATACCACAGCAAGTGCTTGGCAGCACTTCGACTGCCACAGTAATATCATCACTTGTGAAAAATCCTCTCCCTCTCCGGAGTGATGATATCCATAAATATATATATGCGCCGAGTCGAACTTCTCCCAAGCACTTGCTGTGGTATTTCGCCATACATTATTTATCCACTTTACACACTTAGAAAAGTGCAACGTTTTATTTTGTCCCCATTCTTGGTTGAAATACACTACTCGTGTAACTGTATTTAAATAGGGAAAACTTGGATGTGTTTAGTCGCTTCTCTGCTTGGATCCTAATGAATGAACTGGGCTAAGATAAGTGCCATCAAAGTGTCTCACGCACGAGAGCGATGAAGTGCACACATTGAGACGAGAGTTAACTCGTCTTAGTTAAGGGAATAACAGTTTAATATGAAAAAACGGTGGAGTATCCCAGTATGTCAAATAAATTAAATGTATTTATGGCTTAAATAAGGCTTGGTTTTGAGAGACTGGCTGTTCACTTTACTAAATACCTTGAGGAGCTTTGACGTTTTTATTTGGTGATTTCCCAGCAATGGCTTCAACTTCGGGACCACATGATGCCCCCACGTCTTTTTTCTCCAAATTTCTTTTTGATCTCCTCTTCTTTGATTTTTTCTTTGCTTTTTCCTCCCCACATGAACCGCTCAACTGTTGAGCGTCACATTCCTCAGATCCCACTAGACTTGTGCTCCCTTTGATGTCTTTTTCACTTCTCTCCAGTTGCTGTTTTGAGGGTAGCTTTCTGGGTGCAGCAGCCTTATGCGACTCCGTTGTGGCATGCATGCAAGGCTTCATGTCCTGGTCATCAGCGCACACTGCCTGATGGATTTTTTTGTCTGTGTGCAAATAGTTGGACGTGTCAGCCATCTGTCTACTTTGCTGAGAGGATAAGCTATCACCAGAATAAGATGATTCCGAATTGCCTTTTGTTCTCCTGTTTACATCATTCACAGATCTGCTAACTGGTGTCCTCATGTTCTCCTCTGCCTGCTGCTTTGCAAACTCTTGCAAGTAAGAACGGAACTTGCCATTCTGATGCTGATTCAGAAGTCTGGCATAAGCATCTTTCTGGGATCTGGGGAGGTTTTGTGCACCTCTGGGTTTAGTGGTTCTCTTTACTTTAGGAGAAGACGCCATAATCTCTGCAAAGAATTAACATGTCGGTGGTTACATCAGGTTAACAGCCTTTGTCTTTACATATCAATAATTACCGAATAATATAATCAACTCTTTGACTTACTACGAGTTGTATAAAAAAAAATTTAAAAGAATTTAAAAGACTGACGTGATGTTTCAGAAAAAAAACAAAAAAATGTATATGCATTTCTACAACTGCATGCATTTCTTTTGGCCCTGTGGACTTAATTTGGTGCAGCCCCTTCAAACTTTTAATTATTGGAACCAACTAATTTTTCTTAATGATAACATACTGTGATGCACCTGACATATAAATTAATTTAAGCAATATTCCATAAAGCAAAAGTGGGTAACACTTCATTTTACAGTGTCCTTCTTACAAATGTTACTATAGTAATAAATATAGATAAAGCAGAATTACACACAACTAATCCTAAGCCAACCCAACAGTAAGTACATGTAGTTAATTAATATTATTCTGTACTTAACTGTAACTACACCTTAAAATAAAGTTTAATTGGTCTAAAATGGTGACAAATTGGAATCAAAGTGTTTGATAATGAAAGGCTTAAAGTTGGACAAAACAACTGTTTTTAAATAACTGTTTATAGTTTGAAACTAAACTGCTGTATAAAACATTAAAAAAACAAACTTTTTTTGTTTGTTTTTGGATTGAAATACATTTTGCATTGTGTATCCTAAATTCAAATTACATTATTTTATATTTTAATATTTTCTGAAAATTACAGCTTTGCTGACAATGTGTTTGCGTCTCATTTTAGCATATTAAAATAATTTCATCTCAATAATGCTCTTTACTGACACTGTTGTCTATGGAGTAAACAGGTTAAAAAAAATCTTGGAAAACAAACAATGCAAAAAAAAGATGTACATGTCAAAACAGACATAAATAACATTGTTTTTGTAATTTTCTTTAAATTTGTTATTTCACTAAAGTTAGTTGTTTAGATCATCATAGCTTTAAAAACGTAGATTAATAATTTACGATTTGAACTTTGGGCCTCTGTACATTAAATATTTGAAAGCAGATAGTTTTAAATAAAAATCAACCACGGGACATAAAATCAGTAGCATTGAAAATAAGTTAGTTGAAAATAGAAAATGTCTAGACATAACGTTCAGTGTTGACCATAATTATGATATTATAATTTTATCAACTTTCACAGGCTGTTTCACAGGCAGGCACATGCTTAAGTTATAAGCCTAAATCATTCATGCCATGAATTTAATAGCAATGTCATTCACGTAAAACCTTCCCTTGAAAAAAAAGATCCAGAAAAATGTACTCATAACGTATTGCATTTAAAATAATAAAATATTTTAGTTTAAACCGGTTTATTAAAGAAGAGCAAAGACTATGACAATCATATCAGTGTGTGACTGTGAGGCACACTGTTCCTCTACATACAACGAGCTAAGCTAACGTTACTTGACTCTCACATAGCAGCTAACGTTACTCGTATCTTTCAATAAAATATTCCTGTGAGACAATGGACAGCTACATAACTAAACATAAACATACAAAACAACTCACCGTCAAAATCTGCTCTGTCTATATGTGTTGCTAAATTTCACCAAAGAGCTCCGAACAACAACACCAACTGCGCATCTCTTCCGGGTCCTATAAATAAAGCGCTGTAGTTGCATCATGGGAACTGTAGTTTTGTTGCGCACACAGGCTCGAAGTGTCCAATTTAGTTGTAAAGTAGAACGATTATGAGTGAATAATGAATGAATACTGCTGCAAAAATAATCGAACTAGTTTTAAGTAATTATGTAAAATAGCCCAAGTAACCTAATAGCTTTATTTGAATTCAATAATACAACTTAAATAAATAAAAAAAATATGTGAAAAGTTAGCTTTAGAAAACATGCCCAATATAAGATGAAAAAAAATATGAAATTATATGAAATATTATACTGGTCAAGTGACCGAAACATTGACAGTAAATATTTATTGTGACGGTGTAAGTTTGAATAGAGTGTGGAATTTTTTTTTTTTTTTTCTAATCTACATTAACCCCAAACAACCTTTTTATTATTTTATTTTATTACCTTAATATATATTATGTTTATGGGTTTGTTTGCTTATATATGCATTTGTTAGTTCGAAAAAACAAACAAACAAACAAACAAACAAACAAAAAACATTTAAGTTAAAGATAATAAAGCATTAAGAAATGGGAAATTAGGAAATGACACTATTATTTAAATCAGCATGACATCATAGCTGGATTATAAAACACAGTGTGATCCGGACCATTTGCATTACTGCGATTTGTCGCTGGGATGGATATGATTCACACACTCATCTGCGGACTGTTCATTGTCAGTCTGTCACTTTACGCAAAACCCCTCACCACAGTCCAGAACAAGGTTTGTGGATTTTTACGCACGTCATGTTGGTAAAGAAAGTTGCTGTAAAATGTTGTTATTTTCCTTCTTTGAGGCTATAGCCTATAATATAATTTTTTTATTTTTATTTTTTTGTTCTTTTTTATTTATTGCATATGGCAGCACATGGTTACATTGACGAATAGGCTACCTGCTGTTTCTTCGATTAAGTAAATGTTCTCTTTCACGGAATCTTTGATTTATGTTTAAATTGCAGTCCACGAAAGCTCTGCCGGTAGAGAACAGGAGCACGCGACCGGTGAGGAATGGAACCGAAGACGCGCGAGCTCTGAACAAGTGGCGCGCAGCGAAAGAGCCGCAAGTGCTGGACACGAGCGTCAAAGGCGCGAGATCATCAGGACATCAGTCTAATTCACGCAGAAAACAACCCCCCAAAAATAGAGAAAAACGGAAAAACTGCTTCGGTTTCAAGATGGATAGAATAAGTGATGTAAGTGGAATGGGTTGTAAAAGTGACCGAGGGATACACGAGCACTAATGGTGCAGAAATGAACAAAATTCAGCATGCAGAATGAACATGAGTAGGCTAAACGAATGAGGTGCTGAATGATGAGTGATGATATGTAGGCTATTGCAACAATGGGGACGTTGTATCATTCCTGGAGAATTAGGCCTACTGCTTAACGGTAATATATGAATATGTTATATTGCGATTCAATTTGTAAATTTTACAATCATATTATGGAATTCCAGAAAACAACCAAAACAACCCTACATTGTGTGTCCCATCACTGTGGATTAAACTGCTGCAGGAATAAGTGATTTTTGCCCTGTTGAATTTTGGGTTGTTTAGAGACATGTATAAGGCTGAAAGGTTGTCTAAAGGCCTTGTTAGGCAGCATTGAAGACTACTCCATGTTACATGAGAACAAACAAGTCAATCTTTGAAAAACTGAGGCTATAAGAAAATAATATTTGAATACACAGTATTATAGTGTGTTTTCTTATTTAACCAATAATCACTTTTATTAATGAATACTTTCTTTTCTTTTTCTTTCTTTTTTTTTTTTTTTTACAAAACCATGATTTCACTCATTTGTTGAAAAATAAACTCTACACTTTGATTTCCACTTTGAGATTTCTCTCCACTTTGAATACTATGAGGTCTGTGATGGAGATGATCCTTTTTATTGAGATATGAAATTGGGAGGGAAATTATAAGGGAAATATAAAGGACGGGTACGGTTACCCAGCATGAAGATGTGAATTAATCTAAATACAAAAACATTAACACTTTACACTTGATGAATGCTGGGATACTCTTAACGTCAAATTATATTAGAGACGACCAATGCGCACGAATTCATTTCGACGAATGATTAAAAAGTGTCTAATTCGTACTAATTCGTACGACCTCACTCGTACGAATTCGTACGATTTGTCTAAACCCACGTGATGGGTAGGTTTAAACCAACGTGATGGGTAGGTCATAAAATATGTACACTTTTGCTAAATCTAATTCGTACGACTTGGTCGTGAGATCGGGTTGATTAGAGATAGCCTAACCTAGTCCAAATAGCCTACCTAGTCTTTGCACTTGACAACTTGTCTGTTTGCATTATATATCCTCTATTTGGCCCAAGTCTTTAAGTAGTGTGTGTAGATCTTTTAAATAGGCCTACTCAATGGGACACACTTATAGTCTTGCAAAAATGCAAGTGTTTACAGAGCTTTTATTTATTATATTTTCAATACTTTGCATTTTAAAATAAACTTCTACATGTCTGTTCAGTCGCTATTAACAGAAGACACAAATTTAAAACAGTTGCAAATATTGTACAAAGTAGCCATACCATAGGCCTACTCATCTTTGCACCAATAAAATATAACACTTTATGTTTTTACTACCAAATGATATGTGAAATGTTTTCCTCGACATCTCATGATTTCGGGGCACATGAGTTCCCGAACACATTGCATGATGGGATACGCTTACTCTCTGAATAGCTGTATTTGACAGTGTGGGTTTAGTGTGCATTAAGGGCACTGCACTTTGGCATTTTAAAGAAATGGGACAGTCTTGCAGCATATCTGAAGGACGCACTTATAGTATCCATCTCGTCCTTGTTATAGTCATAATTCAATATAAACAAAATTAAAATTACAGCACTACATACGTGGCATGCTGGAGAACCTTTCCATAAATTAATGGATCCAGATATTATTTAACAATTCCTGAAGTAATTCATCCAGTAGCTTTTCTCTAGGGCTGCGTTTAACTCCACTTTCAGACATGCACTTCCCTAAACACATCCCCTCGGGGGAATTCCCATCACCATTTTGAGGTGCGTTCAACTTCGCAAAGTGGACGAAGGAAGTTTTGGACAGACTCTTGACTTGACCCCTCGATTTAGACCATAGGATTGAGTCTACTCAACATGTACAATTCAGTCAGATCCATAGACCACAATGCAACACGATTGTGAAGTCATAGCAGATCGTGCCTAATTTACCCCCACCCCACACAGCTCTGGAGTGATATCTCTGCATTATTTTGATATTTAAGTGTATTTAATACTTGCAGCTACCCTAAGCTTACTTTTTTTAACACAGTTATATATTTACATTTAGTCATTTAGCAGATGCTTTTATCCAAAGCGACTTACATCTGAGCAATATTGTATTGTTATCGTTTAAGTTTGTGGTTTTTATAGCTAATAATATAAATATAATATTTACTAAATGTTGTATTCATAATTAATCTTTGTTTATATTTAATGTTTTAACAGCCCAAGCAAACAGGCCTATAGAAAGGTTCTCAAAAGAAAATAAGATGAATTAATACTGTAATATATAGCTGAAGGCAGCGATGATGGGCCCAAGCGCAGCACCACCACACCCCCGGAGGCTCTAGAGAGACACGACAGGCAATATGCATTTAAACTGGGTGAATGTAAAAGGATTATAAGAGACTTTTCCTGTTAGCCCTGTTCTCATTACTTTAATAACCATGGCAACACCATTTGAGATATCCAATATCCGTTACGGTGCACAAATTTCGCATCTTCGTTTTCTTGGTATCATGTTGAAAAAGTTTGGTGTGAATCATATTAACTCGCTATAAGTAGTAGTTAAAACATTCCTGATTCCTGATGATCAGAGCTAATGACTGTGAATTAGAAAGTTGTCTGGCTTGATGAGAAAAATATACATAAGTCTGTGATTTTAAGTAGTTTTTATTTTTGGTTTTAAAATAAGTTTGGTTTTTGTTAGTTATTTGATGGTGTAAAATTGGCAGAGGTGTAAAGTCCAGGTTCAAAAAGTAAAAGTCCTCAGTATTTTTGTTCCAATAACCTGGATTTGCTATTAGCACAGTTTTTCAGACAGAGTAGTAATTAGTAAAATCAGTTAGCTGAGTTCATGGGTGGAATAAACACATGGCAGGACTTTTACTTTCTGACCCCTGGACTTTACACCTCTGATAAACGGACATCATGATTGACAGCCGAAATTGTCTTTGGGAGTGTTGGAGGGTCTTGATCCCACGGCTTCACTCCTCACCTCTGCAGACTCAGGCTCTGAGTCTGAGTGGTAATGTGAAAGACACATTAGAGTGTTTTTATCTGGATATAGATTACAAATGCTATTTTGGTAACTATGAAAGAGAGTTGTGCACTTAATTTTTGAATGTTCATGTTCATCTTTCATGTTCATAATTTCTAAGTGTTTCATTTTATGTATTGTTTCACTAGTTTGTATACTTTGCAAAATTAAAAAAAAAAGTGAAACGTCTCAAGAACTTGTTGAATTTTGGCATTTTGAAAGTTCAATTAAAAAACAAAAGCAAAAAGTGGTTATGGGACGATGTCAAAACCCAGAAGATTTTTTTTTAATTGAGTAAACAATAGCTGAATCAGTGGCGGCTCCTACAAAATCTCTCAGGGGGGGCAAATATTTGGATGATTGATAAGGACAAGGCCCACCCATGCAATGGATAAATTAAGAGCTTAAGCATGTAAAGTCAACTTCACTTTATTATTAATGACAAATAAAGTGACTTAATAACAATAAATCTTCTTGTTTCTATACTCACTATTATTACACTTATAACATCACATTAAAGAGATTCGGCACACAAATTAAGATATTTTTGATTATATCTAAGAGCTGGAGTTAAAATAACTCTGCTCTTGGAGTTGAATTTTTAACACTTTTTCAGAGTTAAAATTTGTGGAGTTAAAATACTAAACCTACGGAGAGTAAATTTAACTCTAAAAATAATTATATGAACTCATTACCAAAATATTTAGTTTAACACTTCTTAGAGTTAACATTTATTTAACACAGTATAATGTTTTGTGTGGAAATTGAACACCATATTCTTGATTTACTGCCTTTATTTCAGCAAATCCATTTGGTTCAGACTTGAGGAGGAGTAACCTTCAACCGCTTGTCTGCAGGACAGTCGTATCTGAAGATCACAAAAACAACAGTATGAGGCATAATCTAGCACCATTCATTTAGAATGCAAAAATATATTAGCTGAAAATCACGCACATCGTGGGTCACCACTAATACGTAGCCTAACAATATTATAGCTGTTACAATTCAAATAATTGCAGGCCTACACAGCACAACTATATCTTATTTTCCAGGGTAATGTTAGACACTGCAATTGAATTGTGTAACCACGAATGCCTGTAATGCATTGATGCATCAATTTCACGGTAAAACACTCATTTTCAGAAACACGGTGAATGGAAAGACGGTTAGCTAATGTTAACTGGTTTACATCGACAAAAACCCCACGCAAATAGCCATTTCAAAATTTGAAACAAGTAAACAAACGTTCAACAGCAAGTTTTTCATAGTCGTTGATGTTAGTAAACAGTATAACTAGCCTATAACGTAACAGATACGCGATGACCAAACGTTTTTGTCAGAAAATATAGAACATTTTTAAATAGTTTTATATACTCTTTTACCTACCTCACGACGAGGCACATAAGTCCATTATTCCTTTGTCCAGCGGCAGGGTCGTGTCGTGGCGCACTTCTCAAAAATAACTCCAGGTGTAGCTAGTGTTAAAACCAAAACACTCCTGAACACCAATGAATGAACTCCAAAATACAACACAGCCGGGGAGTATACAATAACGTCTCTGGTTACTTACGTAACCTATGTTCTCTGAATAGGGAACGAGACACTGCGGATAGCGCAGTGGGATATTCTCTGAATATGCCGATTGTCTGAAGCCCAATAGAATCACGCCAATTCATTGGCTGATGGTGCTCGCGCAATCTGGCCCCGCCCCGACGCAATTACGTCGCATAATCATATACGCGCGTGCGCCATCTTCCCCTCAGATTTCTCTGCCGAAAAGAAGACTGTCAGCAGCGCGAGGAGCTTGGCCGCTAACGCAGCGTCTCGTTCCCTATTCAGAGAACATAGGTTACGTAAGTAACCAGAGACGTTCTCTTTCATAGGTTCACTCAACGCTGCGGATAGCGCAGTGGGAACGGGATACCAAACTCGCCAAGCAAAGAGCGCTGTAATGACTGGTATCGAAAGATAATGACTACAAACGGTTCAAACAGAAAGAATCTGAGAACCCGGGGTCATGTCAAGATCCAAATTGTAGAAACGTACAAAAGTCAGTTTACCCAAAGGAATCTCGTCTGACTCTCTTTGTGCCGCAATGGCTGCAACATAGACCCTGAGGGTGGTAGCTGCCGCCCCGGAGGAAAACCTCTCTTGCAGGAACTCCAACACTGAAGCAACAGGGCAGTTAACTGGGTTCCTATCACGTGCCAAGCACCAAGACGCGAAAACCTTCCATTTGGAAGAATACAGTCTCCTTGTAGAAAGAGCTCTAGCACTAGCGATGGTCTCCTGAACGTCAGTCGGGAGATCCAAGCCTAATGTCGATGACCCCTGATCGGCCAAAAGTACAGCTTCCACATGTCCGGGCGAGGATGCCAAATCCTGCCCTGAAGTTGGAAAAGCAGATCCTCTCTGACTGGAATCTTCCAGGGAGGCGATTCCAGCAGAGGAATTAACTCCGAAAACCATGGCTGAGACGGCCAGAATGGGGCTACTAGAAGGAGGCGGACTCCGCTCTCCCTCACTCTGGCCAGGACCGCCTGGATCAGTTTGATGGGCGGGAAGGCGTAGAGTTTCTGCATTGGCCAACGGTGGGCAAATGCATCTATCCCCAACGGAGCTGGAGGATTCAGGAAGAACCAGAGCGGGCATTGGGATGACTCCTGCGAGGCAAAGAGGTCCACCTCCGCTTTCCCGAACACCTCCCAGATCAGGGAAACTGCCTGACGGTTCAACATCCAATCCCCCGACTGGAGTTTCTGCCTCGATAGAAAATCCGCTGCGAGGTTCAGAACCCCTGGCACATGGACCGCTCTTAGAGAAAGGAACCTGCTCTGAGACCATAATAGAAGATGACGCGCATGCCTGTCCAGGGTGCGAGATCGAGATCCTCCTTGCCGGTTTACATGGGAAACTACCGCCATGTTGTCCGTCCTGACAATGACATGGTGACCCTTTAGAAAAGGGAGGAAATGATGCAAAGCCAGGAAGACGCTCTCAGTTCTAAGAAGTTTATGTGCCAAGCGAGGGTCTCGCCCGTCCAGACCCCACATGCTGGCCTGCCCTCGAAAACTGCTCCCCAACCGGTTAGAGAGACATCCGTCGTAAGCATCTGGCGACGGAATACCGTTCCCATGCTGACCCCTTTCTGAAGAAAGAGATGGTCCTGCCAAATCGACAGGGCGCAAGAGCAATTGCCCGACACCCTCAACAGGCGAAAGGCTGACCCAGTGGGCCGGATGCCTGAAAGCTTCATCCACCACAGGAAGGGTCTCATGTGGAGCAGACCCAGGGGTAGCACAGGGGAGGCTGCGGCTATTAAGCCCAGAAGCCTGCGGCAAGTGCCCACAGAGATATGATGGCCTAGTGAAAAACGGGCCAAACATGTCATCAAACTGCAAATCCGTGCAGGAGCCAAACGGGCCTGCATACGAACGGAATCCATGTGCACACCCAGGAAGACTGTGTTCTGAGCTGGAGTAAGAACACTCTTCTCCACGTTCAACCTCAGGCCGAGAGACTGAATATGGTGGAGAACAGTGTCCCTGTGGTGGGTAACCAACTCCCTGGACTGGGCTAGAATGAGCCAGTCGTCCAGATAATTGAGAATGCGGATGCCCTGGAGCCGCAAGGGGGCCAGTGCTGCATCCACGCATTTCGTGAACGTTCTCGGTGCCAGGGCAAGGCCAAAGGGGAGGACCTTGTACTGGAACGCCCTCCCTCCAAAGGCGAACCTGAGGAACTTTCTGTGACGCCGCACGACCTGGATATGAAAATAGGCATCCTTAAGGTCTATTGTCATGAACCAATCTCCTGGCCGAATCTGAGAGATGATGGCTTTCAACGTCAACATCCTGAATTTCCCCCTGAAGAGGGCGAAATTTAGTCTGTGGAGGTCTAGAATGGGACGCAAGCCGCCGCCTTTCTTCGGAACCAGGAAATAACGGCTGTAGAAGCCTTGTTCGGTTTCCTCCGCAGGAACCTCCTCTATAGCATCTTTGAGAAGGAGGGAAGAAATTTCCCGCTGTAGCACAGAAGCCTGAGTGGCGCTGTTGACTACAGTAGGAAAAATCCCGTTGAACCGAGGGGGGTTGCGGCAAAACTGGAGAGTGTAGCCGAACCAAACTGTGCGAAGAATCCACGGCGATACCCCTTGTAACCGCTCCCATTCTGGAAAGAAATGTGAAAGAGGAAGAGGGGTGTTGCAATGCATATGACATACCTGAGTGAGGGTGTCGTGCTGAAGGTCGTGGAGTTGCAAGTTTGGCCGTGCAGGAGAGCCCTTGGTGTCCTGACACGCGGTGAGAGGTGCTAATGCTGAGGTCTGGGTGACCGGGCCTGACTGCTCCAGAGAAAAAAGGAAGAGTGTTTCTGAGGACGTAACCGGCAGTCAAAGAGAGTGTCGGGGAGAGGGGAGAAAACCCAGGGTGTCTCCTTCCTTTCGCACCGGGCTGCGTAGAAGCGGTGAAATATGGCCTGCTCTTCGAAACACCCTGGGTGGCGAAGGAGACAGGGTAAGAAAAGGAGAGCTGGTTGGAGGTGGACAGAACCTCGGATCGCTTCAGCTGCACACGTTTGTGAGGTCATTGACGGGGGAACGGGCGACCGCTTGCTCCCCAAACCGAGAGAGGTGGGGGACGCGCTGGGTCACTCCTCCTGGAAGAGGACTCCGCTCCCTGAGAAAAACGTTCTCTAGGTCTTCGGGCAGGGGAGGTAGCGGGGGATTCCCTAACTCTCCTGGGCATAAACTGCTTAAAAGCGGCAGATTGAGACTTGGAGGAACGGAATTTCTCGACCACTGTATTGACCGCCTCCCCAAACAGACCTGACTGAGAGATAGGGGCGTCGAGGAGGAAAACCTTATCTCTATCGCGAATTTCAGTGAGGTTGAGCCATAAGTGGCGTTCCGCAGCAACCGCGCCAGCCATAGAGCGGCCCACCGCACGTGCGGTATGTTTGGTGGCCCTCAAGGCCAAATCCGTGGCCATACGCAGCTCTTTCACAGCCTCAGGAGTGACACCACTACCCTCATCCATCTCTTTAAGGATATCGGCCTGGTAGGCCTGAAGGATGGCCATAGTGTGAAGGGTCATGCCTGCCTGACCAGCCGCCATGTAGGATTTCCCGATGAGAGAGGAAGAGGTTCTACATGCCTTAGATGGAAGGGGAGGACGTGCCCTCCAAGATGGCGCCGACGATGGAGCAAGATGGCTGGCCAAAGTATCCTCAATCGCCGGAATGGCAGAGTAGCCCTGTTCCACAGAACCCACGAGGTTGGTGAAATCAGCAGCTGACGCATTAGTGAGACGCGAAGAGAAAGGCTGCGTCCAGGATCTGGAAATCTCCCGATGCAGATTATTGAAAAATACAGTTTTCTCTGTTGGGGCCTAGAATTAGGGCCACTGAGAAACCTCTCGTCGAGTTTGGAGGACTGCGATTCGCGGGGCTCGTCAGGCCAGTCGATCGCGAGTTTCTCCGTGGCGCGCGAAAGCACTTCCACGAGCTCAGAGTAGGCCGCGGTAGGCCGCGTTTCCTGGCCGCTAGGCGGGATAACGTCATCGACGAGAGCAGGCCCGAAATCCTCGGAGTCGGAAGCCACGGTAGAGATGACGTCCTCCAGCCCGAAAGAAACAGAATCGCGTGCTCCCGGGCTGGGGCACAAATAATCATGAGCGAACTCGACCGGCAAGTGAGTGAGCTCGGGAGATGGAGGGAGAGAAAGAGCGGGGCCCGTCTGCTCAAACTTCACTTCCTCGAGCTCAACATCCGAACCCCAGGCTGCGGATCCTCGAGAGGCCTCGGGAGCGCGACGGGGGGAAGCAAATTTAGTATCCTTCTCAAAAACCGCAAGCCGAGAGCGGAGGGTTTTTAGAAGTAAATTATCGCAGAATTTACATTTAGAAGAACCTAGAACTGCCTCGCGCGCATGTGAGAAACCCAAACACCTGATGCACTTACTGTGAGGGTCGTCGCTTGCGATGAAGCGAGCACATGGTGGAGAGCAACGTCGATACTCCATTGCAGCTTCACTGGAAGGAGAACAGAGTTCCACTTGTGCAGTCGCTGAAGTGCAAGAATCCGAATAATCAGTTTTATAGGCTTTAGAAAAACCGAGACGAAGGACGATGTGATCGCTTCGTGAAGGCAGAGAAATCTGAGGGGAAGATGGCGCACGCGCGTATATGATTATGCGACGTAATTGCGTCGGGGCGGGGCCAGATTGCGCGAGCGCCATCAGCCAATGAATTGGCGTGATTCTATTGGGCTTCAGACAATCGGCATATTCAGAGAATATCCCACTGCGTTATCCGCAGCGTTGAGTGAACCTATGAAAGAGAACATACTTTGCTTTATGTAGGCCTATATGATATTTCCCAAATAAAATAAGAATTTTAATCGGAAGACTATTTGCCAGTGGTTGCCTCAAATTATGGAGTTTTATAGTTGGGTTTGTCAATTTACTCACTGACACACCAATCGTTCTAATAGTTACTAATTAAAAGCATTTAAATAAACATTACAGCTTCAAAATATAAGTTTTCGATGTGGGTGTAAACTTAAATTATAGGCTAAATAATTATGATTTACAGTCTGTAAATAATAATTATGTACATAGCCTATAAAAGGGCCTAACGGTTTTACATATGGGGTTTTGGTTCTCATTTTGTGACTCGATAAATCAGGAAATAACAGCCAGAAAAAAAGAAGGGAAAACATTAACAAACACCATAGTAAGAATATTCAGAATATTTAGGCAGGAATAAAACTGCAAAGTTTAGCCAATGTAGGCCTATGTATGTGCTAAATGGAAATTAATTTTCTTCTCATTTTGAAAAAACAAAACAAAAAATAGATAAACAGACGCAAATAGATATAGTGCAATAAAATACACATTTACATTTGTATTTTGGATGTTTACTTTCCATTAGTCTCAAACAACACGTGGAAAAAAACCTAAATATATATATATATATATATATATATATATATATATATATGAAGAGTTCAGATCCAAAAGCCTCTAAATGCCATTTGAAATTTTCTTCTTTAATGATGATTTTTATCAAACTTGTATATTTAAGTTCAGTAATTTCACTTAAATAACAATTAATAGGTAATTATCATTGCCATTTAAGTGCAATCACTGAACTTAAATATACAAGCTTGATAAAAATTATCATTCTAGAAGAAAATTTCAAAAGGCATTTAGAGGCTTTTGCATCTGAACTCTTCATATATATATATATATATATATATATATATATATATATATTGTACATTATCTTAAATTAAATGTAATTATTTTGGTGTTTCTTCCCTAAAACTGAACCAAGAAAGAGAGAGAGAGAGAGAGAGAGAGAGAGAGAGAGAGAGAGAGAGAGAGAGAGAGAGAGAGAGAACATCCGGGGATTCCCACTGACTCCGCCCACATTCCGCTGACCCACAGCATCGCTGTAAATATGGCGGAGGTAAGAAGGAAATTATTTAAATTATTTTCCAGAAATAAATAACCGCTTATTAGCAGTTAACCGAAGAAATAATTTTGTTAATGGATTTGAAAATTACATTAAATCGTATATATTTCTTATCAGGTTGTGCGGTAATTTAGAATTCGAAAGGCGCGTTGAATTCTTTGAAATTGTATTTCTACAAAGTTAATAGCACTTAGCTCGCATTCAGTTAGCCAAATAAGTTACTCTATTATCAACTTACCCTAATGCATTACCGTACTCTAATTATATCTGATATATTTACATAAACACTGATGATTGTGTTGATTTTTTTTTTTGCTAAATACTGAAGTTATAGATATTTCAATATCCAGATTTGCATTTAAAAGAGTGTTCTTAATGAAGGCTAGACAAAGTATTAGCTAGACATCAGCCTTAACTTCCAAAGTCATTCTCACAGAGCATCTCTGATTCCTCTGGTTTTATCATGAATGTTTTAACCCTGGCCTGCTTGCAAGGTTTAATATAACAGAAGGCATTTTTGTTTGTGTATAAACTAAATAAAAATAATATGGATCACTGAAAAAACTGCTGTATTGCATCATTTTATTCTGAATTAGGTCTGCTTGGATGCTGCCATACATAGTCATCCACACAGATATTTATCATAGATCATGGATCATTACAATTAATAGATTTCAGTGGTCATTTTTATGATTTACTGTTTTACTTTATGCAAGTTTTACAGCTGATTTAACCACACAGTCTGCATAAAAAGTTGTATTTTAAACTGTTATTTTAGTCCAGTGGTTCACAACTGACTTTACATCAGGACCCAGATTTTATATCAGAAATCCAACAGCTACCCAACACAGTTCCAACACAAACCTCATAATCCTCATAATCAAACCTGATATCTGTTCTCCAAAAAAGAATGTATTAATCTAAATGTTACAGCATTTTTATTTTTTTTTTGCTTCTTTTTAACTTTTTATGTCTTATTTTTGATTTTTTAATTTTTAGCCCTCCCTGGGGAGTTCAAGCCCAGGTAAGACTGTTATTATTTTTCTTATCATGGTAAAACATGTCTTTATACATACTCACGATTTGATGCCATGAGTTTTGGTTGGGTCTGACAATGTGGATTTTGATGTGTCAACAGAGATGCTGTTGCCTGATTATGATGATGATCAAACTCCTGAAGATGAGGAGCTGCCAGAGGGAGACACTAACTTTGGCAATGAGATTGAAGAACTCGCAAAGGTAAACGCCACTGTGTGCAAAAAAATACTTCGGCCAGGCCTTAATGTCTGATGTTGTGTTACACTTGAAGTGAAATCATCTATAGAATTATTTAGTTTTCCTATTTAATGACCGACAATTTAGTTGTAATAATAATTTTGGCATAAGGCTTATTAGCGTTAGGCTATAGCCTGAAATGTCTGATTTAGCCTCTGTCATCAGTAACACTTTTTTTTTTTTCTCACAATGACATTTAAGTTCATGATTTTAATGTTTTTTATTTAGTTTTTTTTGTGGCAGACTAAAGACAGACTGTTGATCTTTGAATAAAAATATACAGTATGTTTGGTTCAGGTTTGAACCAAACATATTTTGAACCAAAACCTGACAAACTGAACCAAAACCAACCCCGCCCCGTTGTTCGTCAAATGTACGTTTTGAAAACGTCAAAAATTGTGAAATGAGCACAAATCAGAAATGATCACAATTCATTTGTTGTAGAAAAGAATATCATAGAATAATAAAGTTATGTTTACCACAGGCTTTATTTTACACATAAATTGATAAACCCCATTATGAAACCTCATAGGAAATTTAGGAAGGAACCAGCAACGAAGTAGTCTTCTGGGTTCTAACTGCACCACTCTATATCCTGTTTGGGTGTATGTACAGTATATATAATTAGTAAATAGTATAAATCTATATTAGTGCTGGGCAAAGATTAATCACATCCAAAATAAAAGTTTGTGTTTACATGATATTTTTTTTTTAAATATTTGTGTATACTGTGTATAATTATTTAATTATACACATTATATATAAATGCACACACATGCATGTGTGTATATGTTTAAGAAAAAATTGTTTAATAAAAATTATATATAAATATATATACAGTACATGCGAATATTTCTTAAATATATACATGCATATGTATTTATAAATACAAAATAATTATACACAGTACACACACACATATTTTATGTAAACACAAACTTTGGATGCCCAGCACTAATATATATATATATATATATATATATATATATATATATATATAGTATATATATATAGTGCTGTCAATCGATTAAAATTAACAAATTATTTTTTTTCTATAATCAATCGGTATTAAAACCTAATATTAAAGTTTATCATATATTTTTATATTGTAATAATTTCACAATTAATCTCCAAATTAACATAGAAACAACATAAAGACAGAGTTACCTATAATATTTTAAATATTTGTTTAATGGCATATTTTTATGAAAGATGCTCAGCTCAATTTCAGCCATTAATTATAGGCATTTAGCATTACAGTATAATTGAAAGCTATAATTTTTAACATTTATAAGGCTTGAAATAATTTAACAACTTTTAATTTAAGCGAACATAAATCAATCTTCACTAGGGGTGGGACTAAATATCGATAGGGCAATATCCTCCTCCTCCGTGCAATATGAGAATCGGCATCGATATTTTAATTTATAAAATAAACTTTTTGTGCGGTTTTCTAACAGTCTGGACTTTAATAAAGAGAGAAAACCTGCCCTTAAACTTTTTTTACTGGCATTTTGTTTTCATAGTTAGATATCATGATGTATGATTAAAGGATTATCCAGCAATATATCGATTATTGCTGAATTGCTATATCGTGATGATATTATCAGAATCATGAGCCATGTATCGTATTGTATCGTATCGTGACGTACCCTGTAATTCTCACTTTGTTTCACCCGATTCGACATTGAATCGGTGTCGGGATGTCGGGGAAAGAGATAACTCTGATTGGCTGGTGTTCAGTTTAGTGAAAGTCAGTGCACGATAATAAAAGCCTGCCAAACACTAGCCTACAGCAAGCAAAGAAGTCAAAACGGTAAAGATAGAAGGCTGTTGTTATGTTACATCATCTTACCTGAGTGTTCGTTGGCGAATATTTCAATATTAACATGAGCGGAGTGGAATAAAGAAAGCTTTTAGCAGGATTGATATTCAAAACGGTAAGCATGCGCTGCTTTGTTTAAGGTATGTGTATCTGCAGCCCGCAGCGTTGGTTTTCCTTTTTTGAATGACGAATATAGACTAATATATCTGCAGAAATAGATAGTTGGCTCATTACACGCAGGCGCAGAATGCACATTATAGCTGACATTCGCCTGTAGTTCTCGCGGTGTGTTCAAGTGCAGCTTTTTACCCCGATGAGAGCGGACGAGAGGCGACAACACAGTCAGCTTTCATCAGCGCTAGTTTGTCAGTGTCAGCTTGGTGTGTTCTGGGCTCAAGAAGACTGAAAAGACTGTCAAAAAAACAACGTTGCATGCTGTGTCTGTGCCAGACTGGCGCTGGCTGGAGAGGATTTACCATGAGTTTTCAAGATTGATCAAACGCCGTTTTAATGACATTTTATTTTGGTTTATCAAACCGGTAATTGTTTCATCCTTAAAGGGTTAGTTCACCCAAAAATGAAAATTCTGTCAGTATTTACTCACCCTCATGGTGAACTAACCCTTTAATTAAAAACTATAAACAAAACAGATCCATGACTTGGCAGCCCAAGACAGTATGTCAGACCCAAAGCACTACCTCCACTCACATACACTCATACACAATGTCCCATCCATGGACATTGTGATCTCGTTTTAATTTTGAGTTTAAATTTTACAAACTGAATTCAATCAACATTGAATTGAGCTGAATAACGATGGTATTGTTTTTCTGTAGAGCTGATTACGGCTTAACTCTTTTAGTAACTGATGTACTTTACACAGTTATTTAAATGAACTGAATCAACATTGAACTCAATGATGCTAATGTTGCTTTACGTGAGAATTTGTCCCGTGTTTGATGAAGCTTGCATCATTGATCATTATTTTACAATTAATTTCTGTGAAACTGATTTGAAATTGTATTGCTTAAAGTTCTATATAAATAAAGGTAATAATCATTCTGTGAACTTGATTTCTGTGAACTACAGGAAGGAGAAATGCCCATTCAGGAGCTCCTGAGCCTTTATGGTTATGCAGGCAGTGGATCACCTGAGGAAGAGGATGAGGAATATGAGGAAGAGGATGCCGATGGAGATGAGGAGGATGATGATGATGATGAAGGAGAGGATATGGATAATGATGAAAGCAGCAGAAGCACTGGAGAACTGAAGAAGAGCAAGGTCTGTCCTATAAGAAACCTATGCCCAATTATTCATATCACTTAAATGTGAGTATTAAGTCAGTTATAATATTGTTGTTGAGCCCAAGATGCATACACCACAAAAACAACCAGAACTTAAAATTGGTTCCCACATGGATTTACAACTGGGTTCTAACAGCCCTGGAAAACACAAAGTCTGAAAATGTCGTAGAAGTTAAAAACTTAAATGGTTAAAGTTGGGCTATTTTTAAGTCCTGTTCAAACGCCTGCTCACACATCTGGTTACTTCATGTGCTTTAACTGATGATTGGATTGGCATCTGATTTGTTAAAACAGTTCCTTTTACACTTAGACACATTAACGTTTCTGCAAAATTAATATAAATCTGATCCTCAATCCCGGCACTGTATGCAAATTTAACAGAGTTCACCTCGACAAAAGCAACAGATATGCACTGCATTTTAATTATTGTCAGCTAGTTACAAAATAAAAGGCCACAATAGGATAGAGAGCGGCACTAAATTATAGCACTGGTACAATAATTTGGTCTCACTACTTTTAATGAAGATCACTGTGTTTAGCTTCAGGATGCAATGGCGAACTTTCAGTTTCATATGCGGCAATTTGTGTGTCGGCTTGCTGAAGAGATGCTCAGCTACTCGGCTGTGGCGGATGTCATGTGTGTTTCAGTAGCCTGTTATATCTGGCTAGCCTATATGGCATGCTCACATGTTTATTATTACTATTTTGGAAGGAGTAAAATTTACTTATGTGGCTTTAACAACCAGATGCAATTAAACTGGTCCAGTTTTGTTTGGAATACGTCTCAAACAACCTCAAGAAGTGCTTTAAGTGATAGGATTTAATTCCGTCTTTTACACCTGGCATTTACACCTGGTGTTTTTATGATTGAATAGCTATCGGATCAGAGAAAATGCATGAACAAATGGAAACAGGCCTTAAAGGTGCAATGTGTAAAACTTTTAAATATATTAACAGAAATGCAATATGACATATGTTTTCAGTGGTGTATAAAGAACTTACTTAATAAACAGTAATGTTTTTATTACCTTAGAATGAGACATTTATATCTTCATAACCGCGGGCACCCCCTTCTATCAAGGTCGACATATTGTGACGTCATGTTTCTACCGTCATCTTTTATCTTTTTTTCATCTTTTAACATATTGTCAAAAAAAGGACTATTGACGGTGCTGATTTCACATGGTAAGGAAGAAATTCTAAGAGTTTAGGGCCAAGACCTGAGTACTCTGATGGTTGATTAAGAGTGAAGAAGATTTGGTAACCTTAACTTACTGACAGTTCCTCGCAGAAGACTAAAATGTCTTGTGATCACTACCAGATTTTTAAACATGGAACTTGCATTGCTTTTATCCAACCCTAGTTTAACTGGATATTTAAAAAAAAAATGTCTTCAAAAGTATCGGTATTGAACATGATAAAGTGTTAAAAAGCAGACTGTTCAGTTGATTTTTTTCATTTCACAGATGTGAAAAAAACAGGCAGTGTATGCATGTTGTGGTCCATTCATTACTTTATTGATCTATACTTGGAATTAGGTATGTTAATGGTTAAATGGTTATGTTAAAGGATTAGTTCACCCAAAAATGAAAATCCTGTCAGTAATTAGTCACCCTGATGTTGTTCCAACCCTGTAAGAATTTCATTCATCTTCGGAACAGAAATTAAGATATTTTTGATTAAATCTGAGAGCTGCGTCCTCCATAAGGGATCGAGACTGGCTGGCCCAAAAGTTATGAAAGACATTGTTAAAATAGTCTGAGTGATTACAATGGGGTGTTACTATACAGTGGCTTTAATCTTAAGTTTATCAAGCGTCGAGAATACTTTTTGTACACAAAAAAACTAACAAAAATAACGACTTTATTCAACTTTATTCCTTCTCTGTGGGCCTTGAGATTTCACGTTGTGAAACTACGTAAAGCTTCTAGGTTGCAGGTCACATGTAGGTTCACTATTGACCGACGCTGGTCATGTGTGTGATGCGTGTGATGTACAACCTCTTTCATTACTTTTGGGCCGGCCAGTTTTGATCCCTTAAGAAGCCTATGGAAGAGTGAGACAGTTCTCAGATTTAATCAAAAATATCTTAATTTGTGTTCCGAAGTCTTAGGGGGTTGGAACAACATGAGGGTGAGTAATTACTGACCGAATTTAATTTTTTGGGTTGAACTAACCCTGTAATTGAGTGCTGATTAATCGATTTCAGCACAAGTGATTTTCAGGGTTGCTTGTTAAAAAGCGGTTCAGTGTTGGGGTGTTTCTTCATAAATAAAGCAAACATTCACTGTGAACTCTGGTAGTGCGCGTACAATACAAAAACAACTATAAAAATTTTAATCTGCCTTGAGCTCAAGCATGTAAAGTTATTATATAACTGCTGTGCACAGTTAAGAATAAACAGAACGTTATTGTGAGTTGGTGTGGACACTAATGTATTTATCATTATACTGTAGTTATTTTTATAGATATCATTCTTGGTGTGAACAATTATTTTTCTTTTTTCTCGTCATTAACAATGAAGCAGAGTGTAGCATCTAAACTGATCATGAAAAATAAACCAGTACTGGTGTATCGGTATCAGCAGCTAATCAAGGCTATGCTATCGGTATCTAACATGAAAAAGTGTTATAAAGCCATACCCATCCTTCACTGGACATTTCTAAAGTAAGGACTCTCAATAGACCAGATTTTTATATATATATATATTAGTCAGGGAGCCAAAGTCTCAAAAGCTCTATAAAATGGGTTGAACCTGACATGGTCTGCCATACTTTTTATTTGTGTTTTTTCTGTTAACTTTGACCCTAAGAACAAATAATTGGAGGGTCTGCTCTGCCGGAAATATCGCGAAAAAAAATTGTGGCCATTTTAGTGTACGCACCCTTTATTTTTTATCACAAAAATGTGAAAAATTATTTTTTTCATCAAATCCTTAGTGGGTTGGGTAGGTTCTCAATAAATGCATTCCAGATACACAGAACACATGTGCGGACAACATACACTGAAAAAATAATTCTTAAAACACATTTCTACATGATTTTGCATCAATTTAATGCAAAAAAACAGGCGTTTTTTCACTTTTTTCCACTATTTTCATCTTTACTTCATTGGCAATCAACTATTCCATTAAGTTATGACATCAGGCAATATGCCAATCTTTTCACCAAACACTATACTCATTCCACAGAAAAAATGATAAAAATCCAAACAAAACCAATGGATCTGTGATGATTTCACTACTAGTTGGCGATCAACAGGCTCAGAATTTCAATAGAATTTTAGACTACTCTCAAAATTCTTAAAAAACATGCTGGATATTTAGCATCATGGCTCAGTTACAAACACACAAACACACACACACACATGCGTGATCTTAGTAATTTTTATGAGTTTGGAACAACCAACCAACGGTTACCAACGGTTACCAACAGACTTAGACCGGTAGGTCTGCCCCAGAGTTTTGGGAAAAGAATGGTAATATGGATATTGTAATGGTAATTAACTGAAATGACCACACCAGTCTTCAAACAATAATATTTCTGATGATTCTTCATCCCAAACGTATCCCTGCAGCAGCAGTATTCATTCTCTACTAGTTTACTTAGCTAGCTTTAGCCGTTTTAGCTAATTTTGGTGGTTTCTTTAAACGGCATTACTCCTCACAGGTATGGGGTAGAGAGTAGAGACTTACTTTTTTAAAATGATCAGAATATTATGCTCTAAGAGAGGTATGTGTCCTATATGTTCAATAAGCTTCGACCGGAAGTTGAGAAATTGCCAAAATTTCAACTGGACTTGTTAGGTAAAGAAATAGATATGAGAATAAATGCTGCTACAGGGATACGTTTGGAGTGAGGAATCATTAGAAATAAACTTGTATGAAGCCTGGTGTGGTCCTTGAAGTGTTTTTCATGTCAGACAGATAGTAGGCTTGTAAGGATAGCTAAAGGCTACACCAAACGTTAACTGCCATTAGCAATTAGCTACATGGCTAGTTGTTACATTCAGGTTTAGAAAGTTTAGCTAGTTAGCTTGTGACATGAATGGCCACACAGACAAAAAAAAAAAACTATATAGCTATATTGGATATCAGACTGTACACAATACTGAACAATTCAAGTGTTCTGTAAAATGTAAACATACTATATATTATGCATAGTTTGTTTTTGCATATAGTACTGTACAGTATATAGAGTGAGAGATTTGTCAAAAGCTGGTTACCTAGTAGTGTCAAACATCTACATTTCTTTCACCTGAATGCACAATATTTTCCATTGGCAGATTTGGTTCTGATCTTATTGGGTTTGCTGTGGAGGAAAAGGTAATGAGAAGAGAAGGCATCAGAGGATTGGAAAGGACTGTAAAGAGGAGTGGAGGATTGAACAGAAGGGAAGAGTAGAATGAGGAGAGTAGAGTGAAGAGGACAGGGGTGGACTGAACAAGAGAGAAGAATAGTAGATGAAAAAAGAGGATATGTAGTTATTAAGGTGTGGTGTTCTGGGTGGTTTCTAGGCTGTTTCTATGTAGTTGTTAAGGTGTTCTATGTGGTTTCTAGGGTGATTCTTTGTTGTTGTTAAGGTGTTCTGGGTGGTTTTCTATCTGGGATGGTAAATGCTTGGAATGAACTGCCATTCAGTGTTCGTCCATCCTTTGTGTACTCTGGGAAGTCAAGGTTATCAAACTGTGTGAATCGCCCAACCTTTATATATATATATGTACTTCTGTGTAGCTGATGCTGTTCCTAAATCTATTTAGGAGTGACACAGTTGACTTGCTTCTGGTTTCTTTAACGGCTGTCCCAACATGTTTCAGGGATCTTGGCAACTGCTTGGCAGACATCCTGGGCAAGGTTGAGAACTTGTTCTTGCTGCTTAGGACTAACTTTCACCTGGCCGTCTTCACCTAACTCTGGAGATGCATCTGTTATCATCCATTCCAGGTGGTTATACAGGTTAGAGCTCAATCTTTGGGATGCCTGCAGGTATGATATCTTGCTGCAGTGTCGGGTCTTCAGTCATACTACCAGCGATCTGGTGACTCCCTCTGGCTTAAGCTGTTTTGGCTTGTCTTGCTTCCTTCAGGGCCTGCTTATGTCGGTCCTGGAGTTCCTAACGTATTCTAGTTGCTGTGTTGTAGGAAGAGACTATGGTGTCAACTCACTTTCTTCTTCATATTCTGCAAGAAGTATGCAGAGTATTAGGGTGGTGATGGCACAGTGGATAAGACACATGCCTTTGGTGTGAGAGACCCGGGTTTGAATCCACTGCAAGATACCAATGTGTACCTGAGCAAGACACTTAACCCCTCGTTGCTCCAGAGGCGTGTGACTTCTGACATATATAGCAATTGTAAGTCGCTTTTGAAAAAAGCGTCAGATAACTGTAAATGAATACTCTGCCTCTTCCGTTTTCTCCTTAAGTTCCTTCAACTTTGAGAGCATGCAGCCAACATTTATTTATGCTGAGCAAATAGAACATACTTTCTGTGGCACAACCATTATTTTAAAAATACCACCTACTTCATAGTGCCTTCTAAGGTGGGAAATCAAGGACTGATGTCTGTATGAGGTAACATTGTGAACTCCATGGCTTTCCAAGTATTTATGGAATTCATCCCTCAAAGCTGTAACGAAGAATATGGCATTCAGGTCTGGATGCTGGTGCCATAGGGTGCCCCGTCTCTGAGAGAGCAGATCCTGGGCCAGGGAGGGGCTGTCGCGAGGAGCACCAGTTCCGGGAACCAGATTGGAATACAGTGCAACTAACAAGACCTGCTCCTCGTCCTACCTGACCTTGCACAATGTCTGTGCAAGAAGGCTCACTGGGGGAAACGCATACTTGCGTAGGTCCGGGGACCAGCTGTGTGCCAGAGCATCCGTGCCGAGAGTGCCCTCGGTCAGAGAATAGAACAACTGATAGTGAGACTTGTCCGGGGCGGCAAACAGATAAACCTGTGGGGTCCTCACTGAGGCCTGGATGGTGGCTGCTGCTGGGGCTTCACAGGAGCGGAGGATGCCCCAGGAGGTCGACCTCAGTGACGAGCGGATGGAGGGTCTGCGACCAGTGAACGGGTGGGGCAAAGCTCTCAACCGCGTCGCCTAATAACCCAACCTGGGACCGAGGGGCATCCAGGAACCGATTCTTAATAGTGTCTCTCATATCGGCCAGGTTGAGCCAAAGGTGGTGCTCCTGGACCACCAAGGTGGACATTGCCTGACCAATGGAACGTGCGGTTTCCTTCGAAGGGGGCAACACACCCGAATCCTCATCTCCAGAGGACTGAAGCTCCCCCTACGATGCTGTGATCGACATCTGATCATCAAGCGGAGCCCCAAAGGACATGGCTGGTAGTTGCAGCGCTTGTAAGGTGTGAGGGACCCAAGGAGATTGCCTTAGAGGGGAAGTCCTCACATCAATCCTCAGATCACCCTCAGATCACCCTCAGATCACCCTGCTCATGCACAGAAGTAGGTTTATTTTGAGGTCCAAAATAAAAGCTAGATCGGGCATAGGCGAGGGGACTGCACCTCCCTTGAGGTAAACAAGTCTCAATCTCAGCACAGTCATAGTCATATTCCCGCAATGAAAACATGAACTATTCACAAAAGTTGCCTCAGCGTGCTGAATGCCCAACACGAAAAGGAACTATTGTAACCATTTGCTGGCGCCAGGGAATGACCGTATCCATAAACGCACGAGCGGAAAGACATCCTGAAAAGAACGCAGGGTCACGCTTGTGTTGCTCTTTTAGTGAAAACAAAAAAATAGAAATTCTTTCAGTGCCAAAGTACCCAAGGATAGCCGCGGTATAATCGGGGTACACTCTCAAAGAGGAACGCCCACCAAGACCGACACACACACAAGCACGCAAGCAATGCTGTGAAAACAGCAGTTGTGAGCTGTAAAATCCTTGAGGCCACCACTGATCGCACAGTCACACCAGCACTAGATACAGAGTCTTGCTTTTCTTGAATCTTAAACATTGCAGCAGTCTGCAGAGCAGTCAGATGAAAGCTTGGCTCCTAAGTGAAAGACAATGTGTGCGTGCGCCTGCTTCCTGTTTATACCCACGCTGCGGAGCGGAGCACGTGATGCGATCCCTGAAGTGGTCCCGATTACGTTGTCACGTCGATGTTACGCCGCATGTGATCGACTGAAAGGGAACTAAAATTTTACTAGTAGGGTACTAAAATCAAAAACTGCGGAATTGTGGGAAGTTTTAAACTTACTATCGCCGACTCTGTTATCTTTCTTTCTTATCAGGTTAAGAGTCTGAGTGTCATCCTGTATTCATAAACTTCAGATGTTTCAG